GTGTCTTTATAGCTAATCTAGCTCTAGAAGTATATTTATATTTTCTAGTTCTATAATATTATAGAATTGTTGTTTCTATATTCTCTAGATATCTAATATCTATACCTTAGTCTCTAAGTAAATCTATTCTTAGCTAAAGGTAGATAGCTAGTCGTCTATAAGTTATACTTAGTATAGCTATTATTTCTCTTAAAATAGTATATTCTATAGTTTTACTAAGCTAGTAGAAATATATATTCTTACTACTCTACTATTTATATAGGCTATAAATTTCTTATCTTCTAGTATAGCTTTTACGCGTAGCGTTCTAGGTTTTAGGGTAATAACTTTACTAATAGTCTAAACAGGGCCTTTCTAGGCTAGACCTCTGCCTTAAGGGCCTACTAGTTTTTTAACTTTAAGGGGGTAGCTAGTACTAATTCTTATTTCTTTTCTACTATATATACTAGACATTACTCTAGTAAGTATATAGTCTAGTAGAGTTTTACATATTTATTTCTAGCCTTCTCTCTATAGTATAGATATTTCTATTCTAGAAAATACTACCTATAATTAAGCGTGTAATAGTTAGAGTGTTAAGCTCTCTATTCTATAGTTTAGTATTATTCTTAATAGTATTAGCATTCTATAGCATACTAGTTCTAGTTTTTTACGTAGTATTCTTTGCTATACGTTTCTTTAACTAGTTTAGACGTTACTATTCTACTACTTTCTTTCTTAGGTTAGAGGTTTATATACGTAGCTACTTGTATTTCTTTGTTATCTAGTCTCTAGGTGCTAGTAGCTATCTTAACTACTACTCTTTCTTCTTTACTATAGATTACTAAAGAGTAAGCTTAGTAGATATAGTTATAGCCTAGGTAGTTACCTTTACATAGCTAGCACAGCTTCTATTATAGGCGCGCTTTAATTTTCTAATTGTGTATAAATAGTCTAGAGAGTTCTTTTCCTTATAATAGTTTAGTTAGGTGTACCTTATAGAAAGAATCTTAATACTTACCTCTTTCTATATACCTTAGTTACTACTACTTAGCTTTTTAGGCCTTTAGGTTGTTTATAGAGAATTCTTAGTATATCTTCTAGATATACAAGTATACTTCTTTATCTATAAGATATTCTACTAATTAGGCCGCTTTCTTAAGAGTTTCTAGGGCCTTCTAGAATTTCTTATTAGTAAATAGAATATTCTAGTATACGTGCTAATAGCTCTATACGTTATAGAATTCTACGTATATCTAGCACTATTATACGTTAATACGTTATTAAATAGTGTTTAAGGTAAGATATTCTATATATACTAGGTATTCTAGTATAATAGCTCTAACCTCTATAGACTACTATTCTAAGTTAACCTTACTTCTCTAGTATATTATACATCTATTATTATAGTATACTATCTATATAAAGCTATTATAGTTTACTTAGATTATCTTAACTATTTTCTTTTTCTTTAGGTATACTTACGCAAAGTATTCTTTTTCTCTACAGACTAGGCATAGTTCTTTCTTAAAGTATCTTGCCTTGTTCTTATTCTGTAGAGTTCGTTTTCCTCTCTATAGAGTCTTAACCTAGTCTAGGTCTATAGAGTTCTCTTAGAATAGAGTCTATAGTTGTTTAGTCTTAATTATTAGTAGTATAGAGTAATTCTTACCTTATTAACGTTCTAGGTTTTGTTTATACTACTAGTTATTAATTTTTACTACTATTTCTATTATGTTGCTTAGGTTCTTAGGTCGTTTAGCGTGCGCTATGTTATTCTTAACTAACTTCTTTAATCTCTTGTAGAAGAGTTCTGCTAGCGCGAAGTTGTTCTAGTCTAGACGCGTACTTAGCTATCTAAACGTTACTGTATACTAGAATGCTAATCTAGTTTATTAGAGCTAAAATAGCTTCTTCTAAGCTACCTTGTAGGCGTTAACTTCTCTAAACATTCCTCTAAGATACTTTGTAAACCTAGTCTAGCTTTTAAAGATTTCGTCTATAGACTATTATGTTCTCTTTATATTACTCTTATTTTCTAGCTAGTCTAATATATAGAGCTTAGCCTACGTAAAAGCTTCTTCTTTTATATTTATTATAGCTTCTAGAATCTTGTTCTTGTTCTATAGAAATACTATAGCGTTATATTATAGGTAGAGTTCTATAGCTACTAGAAAAGCGTTAAGGTTTTTCCTCTTGCTATTAAAGCGTTATAGTAGAGTAATCTTAGCCTAAGCCTAACGCTTTACTATAGCTAGCTCTTCTACTTAATAAACGCCTATCTTCTAGAGCGCTATAATAATCTATTAGAGTTCTACAATCTGTTCTTCTATAGTTAGCTTCTAGACTTAGGCCTTTCTAGACTAGGTTCTAACTATTAATATAATAGTTCTACCCTTTAACGTTAGGTAGTTATTTTATTATAAGCTATTCTCTTAACTAAGACTAAGGCTTACTTTTATAAGAGAAGGTAAGAGGTATACTTTAGGCTAGAGATTTTTTAGTAACAAAGAGGTAGAGATAATAATACTATAATTACAAGTCTCTATAGTAATTTAACAAAATAAAGTAATAACTATAAGAAGCTATAAGAAGTAAGCTTCTTCTAGTTATATATATATACTATCTTAGCTAGATTAGGTGCTAAGACTCTAGCTTCTATAGATTACCTAGATTAGAGTCTAATCTCTTAGATTAGACCTAATTTATCTAATCTGTCTAATCTATATTACGTAACTCTAATTATTCTTATAACTCTACACGTAATCTCTTATTCTATAACTCTAGACTTAGCTTACTATTTTCTCTATTCTAGCTAGCTAACTCTATTCTTAATTCTATAATTATAACATATTAGTAGTAATCTAGTAGTATATATAAGTTTATTATTTAAGTATCTAGCGTATAAGTAATTAGCTAACTAATTTATTAATAATTTTACTTAGCTTTTCTAGAAAAAGCTCTTAGAGCTTCTTTCTAGAGGTAGAAAGTATACAAGAGCTATCTACTACTAATAACCTTAGTATTACTAAGCTCTAGCGTAGCTATGCTAGCTTCTATTTAAAGTTAATATTCTAATTCTTATTAGTTATTATATTATATTATTAAATAGGTAATTTACAATAATAATATTAGTTTAAGTAGCTAGCTAGCAGGTTCTCTACCTAGAATTTAAGAATTATAGAGGTAAAAAGATACTATATAACTAGAGTCTTGCTTCTAGAGTTACTTTATAAGAGTTTACCTATAGTATTTAAGTAGTTTAACTTAGGTATAGCTTCTTGTTTAAGAAGTAGAGGTATATACTACTAGTAGAGTAGCTAATTATTAGCTCTACTAGTAGAATAGAGAATTACTAGTTTTTAAAAAAAAAGAGAGAGGTTTTTATACGTAGAAGTTCTATAGAAGTTCTCTTATATCTAGAGCTCTTAATAGCTCTCTTTAGCTTACTACTAGAGGTATCTTTTCTACTACTAACTAGATCTACTAGTAGGTCTTATATAGCGCTAAAAGGTAAGTAATTAATTAGTAATATTAATAGATTCTTAGAGTAAGTAACTAGACTTTTATAGCTCTAATTCTTAGTATAGCTATTAGTAAACGCTTCTTATAAGGCTACTTAGTTTAGCCTAATATTATACTACTATCTCTAGCTAAAGAAGTAATAACCTTTAGATAATATAAGAGCTAGGTTTATAGTCTTTACTACTATAAGCGCCTCTAGAATACCTAGCTAGGTAAGTTAGCTATAGGTAGTACTATCTTTATAAGCTATAAGAATAAGAGGTACTAGTAGAGTAGGTTAGATTAAATTTAGCTATCTAAAGATAAGAAGTAGAAGAATACTCTAAAAGGCTCTATATATAGAGGTACTAAGACGCTAAAACGCTAGGCTAAATTACGTAATAAGATTACGTAACTTAAGATTATATAACCTAAGGTAAATCTCTAAACTAGACTATTATATATAGACTATTTACTTATATAAACTATTTACTTATAAAGTATATTATAAATTTTTATAGAAAAATATTTAGGTTTTACTTAGTTATTTAAGAAAAATAGATTAATTTTTATTAATTTTTATTACTAAGAAATTATAGAGAGTTTAATAATAAAGTACGTTAGTTTAGTACTATAGAGTTAGAGTAATCTAAATAAAATAGTAGCTTTTTAGTAAAGACTTAGTATTTTTAGAGAATTTAGTAATATAGAGTAGTTTAGTAATAAAGTACATTATATTATAAAACTCTTTACTACTTAGTTACTAGTTATTTCTATCGCTATGTTAAATTATGTGTAGTTAGAGTAGATGTTAAGTTCTCGATTGTGTTACCGCTTGTGACGGTCCGACTCGGCTCCGCCCAAGTCACATGACCCTGCCTAGCGCCTTGGCATAGGCACCCTGTATATAGAGAGCTCTCGGAGCATTCTTCTGCTCCTTACCTTTGGATAGCTGAATTTGACCCAACCTACCCTGCTAGCACCCCTTATCCTTACAGCTCGTGGAGACAGCGCTGCCTGCAGCCGACCTACCCAGCTAGGTGTTCCGGGACGCTCACAGCAGTGGAGACCGCGGACCCAGCCCTCACACCGCTAACTAGAAGAGCGAGCGCAAAATGGAATGGAAAACTAGGGAGTGACGGCCACGTAGCCACGAAGGCTTCATAGTAATTCAAGGGAGATAGAGGCGAGCGTGAGGTGTCACGATGTTGACAATGAAGGTGGTTCAATTTCCTGGGCCTCCGGCAGAAAATAGAATAGGCAAACCAGTAACTTTCCAGGTACCGATCGGCATTTAAAGGCCGGGTAATCGAAAACAGGTATTCCACTTTGCATTTGGAAATCCGTTGAAACGTCGGGGTTGCCACGCTACGGCTGCCTCTTAAGCGTCGTACATACTCTGGGATGGCATTGTACATTCGCGGGCGGTTTTAGAGAAGACAAATTAATGGGAAGTAGTTAAGAAGTCTGTATGGAGCAGTTCCAGGTATTGGTTCAGGCCTGTCTCGGCCGTATGATCGGTCTTTGCGCAGCCTCCTTGTGGGCGAGCGAGGAGAGGTCGAACGGCGTTCAATCTGAAGGATGACGGGGTCGTTTAGTAGCGAGGAGGCATTCGTCTTAGACCAGACGCAACTCTTGAATGGGAGTACCGCAACTTCGGAGTGCATCAGGTAACAGCCTTGGATCACGCCTTGTTATGCGACCCGTTTTCCGGTTCTTGAACCATCTTATCGCGGGAGCCTCGGGCTCATACGCCGCTTTGAACTCCCAATCCTCCGGCAGTGCGCCGAGACGTGGGTCGTCGTAGACGACCTTGCCGATTTGGGGATCAGTGAATGCCTGCAGCGGAACTCCCTCCCAGTCATCGTCATAGTGACCTCGCCAGGCGATAGGCAATGGGCCAAGCAGCGCCTCAGCGTTCATCAAGCCATGTACGTAGGCTAGCCCGAGTACTCGATAACCCCCGACACTCTCCGTTGATGGTCGGAGCATTATGGGATAGTCGAGTCCAAGAAGAACGCAAACGACATCACCTAATATCCAAGTTGGATTAGCAGACTGATCCCCTACCGGGGTGGGGAGGATTAATGAGACCCACCAGCTTTGGTCCCCGGCGGACAGATGCCGTAATGGTCTACACTGGACCGGAAGAATGACCGACCTCTGATGCAGTCCGAAGTCAGAGGCTCTGACTCTTCCAAGTAGAATGACTCTAAACAGTCATGGATGCTAGGGAAGGCGGCAATATCTGGGAACATGACCTTCGTTTCCCCACATTGCAAGGTCGCGATGAAATCCTCAGAATAATCCGACCTCGTACAATCTGTCGTGCAATGCCTTACAAGCTGCTTCCACATCCGCAGTACAGGCTTAATGCTGCCTTGGAGCGGTGCTGGGGCACCAACTTCTTCCACTAAAAGGCAGATACACGTCAGCATTTTGATAAGCCTACCGAGAGAAGAGCTCGTGGAGTGAACAAGGGAGAAAAGGCCAGAGCGTACTCGCTCTATTGCACAACAATACAAAAGAGAATGCCGGAATCGAAACCCACGTCCTTCAGCCACCGTCGTATAATCAACACACAGTGTTTATGTACCGAAGATTGACGTACCTGTTGCGCATTTTACGCCATACACAAGCAGTTCCCTATCGGTGAATGTAACTGATCCACTACCAGCCGTACCAGAGGCGAATCCTGGTTTGAATCCCTCTAAATCGGAGCATCTAAGCCAATTCGGAACCCATGACGGCAAATCCATCTCTGTAGAATCACAGGCCTCTTCCGGAGGCTCGCAAAAATCCAAAAAGTATATTTCGCCGTTATGGGCATTCCATGCGCGACAAACATCTTTGAAAAGATGCTCAACGGGCAGAGCGTAGTCGGCATTGATGCGAGCCACAAAGGCGGGATCTAGGAATCCAAAAAGTGCGAAGATCCGGTCGTGGCCTACGGAGAACTTTGCAAGTTTGGTGCGCTCCAGGAGTGTCTCTAAGTCGTGCAATTGGTTTCGAGAGAAAAAAGCACGCGATGATCGGAGGCTTTCTGGTAGAAATTGACCAAATTCGGCTTCTCCTCTCAGATGAAGGTTCTGAAGGGCACGTCGGAGACTGTACCAAGATATGGAGCTTGATCCGCACTGTGCTACGGATCGGGGGCTGCCTAGATGGATTTCCTGCCTAAATTTCAAGAGCGCATATTAGTGTATGTCTAAGCAGCGTACGAAATGGAGATGTAGAGTCGTAGAAAGTAAGAGGACGATTTGGATGCCAACTCTTCCCGAGAGAGTGAAGCCACCCCAGTGAGAAATTCTCGTAGTGAAACGGCCTGCGTATCACCTGGCCAGACATCCGGCGCGGGTGCATACAGTAGTAGCGCGTCTTGAATGAGTTTTCAAAATGAGGTCTTAGGCACAGGCCATTGCTCACTGCAAGAGGGCGCTGAACTGTTTAATGCGCCACATGAAGGCAGTCTTTGCCCCCTGACTTGCCCTATAATACCAGGCACGTCTCTTGAATAGTTGCAATATTGCGGTCGTTCCACTGGAAGTTCGGGATTACTGTTTTTCAAATCTAGTACTCACCAGATCCAAAGTCTGTCCCACCACGGCCGTTCGAGGATATGCCGTATAGCCGTGAGGTCTTGCTCGGACAGTGATATCGGTACTTCACGGTCCCATGAAGCGCCTTTTGCAGTTGGCGATGCCATTATGTAATAATCTCTCGTGTACTCTGTCTGTTCTCCAAGCTTTTGGAGAATGCCGAGTGCCCACTCGTTTGACTGGTCAGGCGATGTGGGGCCAAGCCCTAGGGTTCGTTGCATTTAGGCACTGATAGATAACATGCAAAGCGGGGCTATCTTACAAACGACGACTCTGTAGGCGAGCTTATAGATACTGGCCATTCTCTTAACTTGGACATTTCGCTCTTCGATATCTTCCTGATTGATGCACAAAGCGTCAATCCACAATGTTCGAGCTGTATCCGTCTGCCTGAGATGTTTCAGGGCATGGTGAAGGTTCGGACGTATATGGAGTATGCGTGACGTGCTTCCGAGAACCTCCATTCTGCCAGGAGAAACAATGGTGGCCTCGTCGCTGGCCTGTTGGTTGCCCCATGTGTAAGACACTGGTTATGGCAAAACTATTAGCGGACAATAGTAATGGTTTCATCTTAGAATTAGAGAGAACGAGGTCGACCGAGAGTTCTAGTTGTATATGTAGCTTCTGTTATGATTTCTCTAGTTCTCCATTCGAGCATGCGAGAAACGAAGAACGCAAATTCGGGGAAATAGGCTTACTAGAACCTATTAGTGTTCCTGATTCTAACATATACACACATGAGATACTCTACCATGCTTCATATACGGGCTTAAACCCTGGATATGGATCCAATACCGCATCGCAATGGTATCGACTCTTCTCGACATCTGGCTTCGGATGCATCCATTGCGTAGATTTAACATTTTTATTCCAGAAAATGTACCGCCCTTCGACAGTCTGGTGAAGATCCCATCCATCAGGCACAGTTTGGAGGATTTCGTTCATACTAAGCCTGGTATCTGGCGCTGGTTCTGGCTCAACGAGTGGTGCATGGAAGACCTCGAGCTGTATAGGATCATCGAATTCGCCCGGCAATAAGCGAAGAAGTCTGATTTCCTGGGCTTCTTGATCTAGAGGCTGGTATTCGTATGGTTTCCAATCGGCCGCGTTCGCTGTTGTTGACGGGGCGTCGGCTTGTCGCGAGGCTGAGGTCGATGCACCTTCTTACGCAGCCTGTTCAGCTTTGAGCGCAAAGATAGAGCGCTAGGCATCCTCGACGTCGGTGCCAGTGGGTGAGTAATCGAATTTAGAAGACGGACGGGTGGAAATTATAGAAAAAGACGACCGTTAACGAGGAAAAGAGTTGGAAATGAGGGAAGCTTAAGCAGGCTGAAGGTGGACTACGAAGGCAGCACGTTGAGCGGGGCGGAGTCGTAGGCTAACCGCTCAACATGACCAATCAGCGGCTGCAAGGCATGCATCCGAAAAAATATTCCCGAGGTGTATTTGGGTAAGGTTTAACGTGGGACTATGGGCTACCTATATGAGATAGGGATCCGCACAACATACAGTAGACGCTCTATAAGCTATACAATAAGTGTTTGAAGAAAACTTGGTATGTACGCGAAGGAAACTTGGCGCGCGCGCGTAAACCCTCTTCGATTTTGGTGAGGGAACCTGCGCGCACGAGCCCCCCCTGAGAACACAAGGCATGCGTGGTTGTGCACTTGTGTGAGCTCCTGAGGCGCGGAATGGACTCCCTCGACAATGTTCTTGGTGAGCGCAGCGACCTCCTTCGCGAGAGCGACGAGAGTCGTGATGGACGCGACAGCGCTGACAACTTCCATTTCCCCGTTCAATTAAAGAAGTGACTTGGAAACAGCCTGATCACAACGGTCGGCGTGCCTTCGGGGATCACATTCATCGTTTGTGGGAATGGAGCCATCAAGCCGATTGGCCGAGATGAAGAGGTGTTGTTCAAGGCAGCTTCAGCCTATCACACCCCGGCAGCTGCGCCGAAATTCCATGCACGTCCACGTAGCTCCACAACATCAAAAGTTTTGGGAGTACACAGTCTGCCTCGCTCACGAATCGTCGGAAGATTTCACCGCCACGGCTCACCGGCGTTCTCTCACCGCCACAGGGCGGTGCCCGAGTCCTCGCTCCCTAGTAACTTAGCATGAACAAATCCTCATGTTATAAGGCCTGCCCCGCGGATCTTGAATTTTGGCTTCTTTTTTGCCAGTACCTTACAGAGTATACTCGTATCCTCTAGTTGATGAGGTCGAGTAGTTGAGGCAATACATTGCCAGACTCCTCTTGTGCTGTACGCTTCGGTCTTCCATACAATTTCAATTCCTACCTGTTAACAAGCCAACAGGCACGACTTAAAACCAAATCAGGGCAGTTAGATGCAACTCACCATCGAGAATTAATAATTACTACGGCTACCCGAGAATGGGGGTTGTTGGTACGCCCGAGTAAGTCACTATGCCTGTGCATGATTCTCCCACATAAGCAGTCATCTGACGCGTTCTAGTTGCAACCCCCGGAAGGGGCCGGGGGGTGGGTGTCGCGATAACGAGCAGCCAAGGGATAGGGGTCCCCCCTCTAGTTGCTGACCCGGAGTCCTCGGGTCGGACTTTCATGAACGATGTTGAGTGGCTGGAATATGTTTGGTGTGATTTTTGCCAGGTATGGGATTTAAAATTCGACAATGTACTCTACATTCAGCCTTAGCCAATACAACACCCGAATGCCTTTGGCCGCCCCCACGAGGAAAAGTGATTAAGGGAAAACCTATTCAATCTATTCAAGTGTATTCCAAACGCTTTTAGCGTTCATGGCCGCATTCCAGAAGCTTGACGGCGATGCAATTGAGACCGAATAAGGCCGCCAGGTGAAGAGCTGTAAATCCCTTGAGCGTCGAACCTCGCTCATGTCCCCCAGTCACGCTTTTTCTCTTCTGAGATATGAGCTTCAGCACTTGCTGCCACTTTGTTGTGTTCGGCTTCGAGAAAGCTTAAGATCAGGCTAGCATCGTCCACTTTCGCCTCGATCTTGATAGAAAAAGTGCCAGTTCCTTTCTCGAAATGTTCCATGATCTCAGGGATGGACCCTGCCGTCAAGAATAGATTCAAGTGTGACTGCCGCTGGACTCGGAACATTGCAGATAGAAGACCGTTACAGGCTGGATCTTGAACACGACACTCGTCGAGAGCAACAACCACGATGAAGCATCGCTTGGACCGTCACAGGGGATAAATGAGGAGACGCGATACTTCTTCGATGGGAGGACGAATGCTTTTCCTCCGGCTCTGTTCGTAAGACTCCAGCACCCCTTTGGGAATGGAGGCCTGCTGCTCAGGAAACTGCTTCAACAGGCTGTAGAGAACATCCACAGGTCGTCGATCGCTCCGTCGCCGGAAATTTCCATCTATATGTACGCAACGCCGGTGGATTCGACTTGCGGAAATCTGTCAAAGATGTAATTGATGACTGCGGAGGCAATAATGATCCTCCCAGCACCAGGGATACCAGGACAGAGCAGTGTCTGTTCGTGCTGAGCAGCCCATTCCTGGAAGGTCTTCGATTCCATCAACCAGCCACTAGTGCCGGGATGTCTGCGACTGCGGAAGTCCGAATTCTGCGTCGAATAATCAATAGGGGCGAGCCATCGCAGTATCGCCGGATGTATATCCGATCGTTCATGGTCAGGTTGGCGATGTGCGATCTCGGCTACCCCCTCGTGGAGTTTAGGCGACGTTTGCCCAAACAGGAATATGAGCACGAAGCAGCCATAAGCATCTTCGATACTCACAAATTCAGCTGCGTGTAGAAGGTATTCAGTAATGCGACGTTGGATGATAATCGTGCTCTAAGCGCCTCGATGTCCTTTGGTTCCCATTTCAATCGCTTGCGGGCAGCACTGAATCTCCCCTTCAGAGAACCCAGTTCCACAAAGTGGGTATCCAACTCAGGGTAGTCGGTCAATTGCTTGTTCAGCTCGTTGAGTAGAGTGAGACATGCTACAACAATGTCGACCAGCTATTTCCTTTAGGTTAGTGTCGGATCCTGGTGGGGCAATGAGAAGTAGATGCTTCACACCTTCCAGCACTATTGTCAGGCCTCGACCCCTAGCATAATTAGAGGGAAATAACACAGGGGAGTGGGTTACGCCGTACTCGTCTGAGATGGATCGAAATTGCCGCGGCGCATCGAAGCGATGGTAGAGCTCGTTAGCAGGCTCGACGAGCTTGATAAAATCGCCGACACTGTAACCGAAGCTCATCCCGATGATCGGTATGTCAAGACAAACGGCAGATAGTAGTGAGGAGAGAATAATGGATGCGTTGAGGAAGGAGAATCATTAAGCACTCGCAAGGCTGAAGCGGGTACATACACAGTACGGCCTAAAGCCTTGGCACGATATTGACGCACGCTCTTCGACGAACCCTCCTCGGCGCAGTTCCTTCGCGCGCTTCGAGCCAGCGTGTCTTTCCCTGTCTCCCGTCCGCGAAAGGTGCCCATTCCACGTCTTGAGAGACCCGCGCGACGAGGCGCCGTCTAGTGCACCACCGCCGAACAAAAGGCCTGGAATCCGAATGGAGAACGATCGAAAACTGGTTCAGAATGTGAGCTACCAGCTTTCCGACAAACATGTGACGAGATGGTGTCAGCATTCCAGCTACTCCCCCTTTCGGGCCGTTTCATTCCCGTGGTATCCCATTACCGTGCCCACGGATCCTGCCGCTGATCGGTGGGAAATTCACGCCCACAGAGGGGTCGGGCTCCCGGAGTTTGCCGTTGCCTCTAGACTATAGCATGATTTCGTGGTCGGAGGCGAGCAGCTCTTGGATGTTCACACTCTCTGCTTCGCATGCGTCTCGAGGTCGTTTCTGGGGCAATCGCGGCCCCGCGGGGCCGGCACCATAGCCGGCTAGCTAAGCGAGTCATGGAGCCAATTGCTCCTTCGATCGCGGCCTGGGACACCCAAGACGCGCACTCCCAAAAGCAACGAAACCAATAATTCATCCTTGGCAAAGCCCAGTGCACCTATCATGCGCGATCCTGTCAAATTTAGTTTCCTTTCCCTCGATCCCCGGGTGCTCCGATCCCGACATGACTCGTGGAGCGTTTCACGGAGGTGCATCCGATTCTCCACATCGCGAACGCCTAGAAAGAGATGACCCAACACCCGTCCCATGTCGCGACGCGTTGGCGGCCAGTGTTCTGCTCCAACTCGTTTTCTCCAGCTCTGTCACCGAGTCTGTTAGTAACAGCCGACGTACAGGCCCTGGCTCGTCTCGCAATCGCTCTCCGCCATCAGCCGCACCACAAAGTTTCCGGAAGCCATCTGCAGCCACATTTGCTGATCTGCTTGATGTGCAAGACAGAAAATACCCCATGGTCTCTCTGCATCTGCTCCAGTGCTGAATTCCAGCTCACCAATCTTGATGGTATTCCAAAATCTTGGCGCTTCACGTCTCCTTGTTCATTGAAAACATCCAACGCAGCCATCGACACAATTCGGATTTCGCTACTTTACTGGCCGGAATGACTTTGCCTAGCGAAGGCGACGCCGACCGCGGCGGTCTAATGATCAAATTTTTGTGGAGCTTCGGGGGGATTGCAGGTGTTATCCTGGCAACAGGCTTGTACGCAAAGATCCGCCTGCTCCGTCACCTCCGTTCTACGGACTACATGGTAATAATGGCATACGTAGGTCACGTTGTCTATGGCATGATATCCACTCACACGTAGCAGATCTGCGCCATAATCCAGAATGCACTACTGACCGAAGCGTGCCGCTGGGGATTGGGAAGACACTCGCGATATCTCGACCGCGCGGAAAAATACCAAACGATGAAATTCATCTTTCTTTGTCAAGGATGGGGCGTCGCAAGTCCCATGTTCGGGCGCATATCCATTTGCCTGCTGCTCTTGAACTTCGTGGTGTCGAATCTAAGGCTGAAGTGGTTTCTGTGGTTTCTTGTCATCACGCAAGCGGTGGTCAATATCCTAACCATCGTGTTGATATATGTTCAGTGCGGATCCCACGTGTCGGCGCTTTGGGACCCGGAGGTGGATGCGAAATGTTGGAGCCCGCTCGTGCAAAGGAATTTTGGGTTTTTCCAATGTGGTAACGTACTTTCCATATTGAAATGTCAATCACCATGCTTACTTACATTTACAGCTTGGAATTCATTTACGGATCTGGCCTTCACCGTCCTACCCACAATCATGCTACGAGGTATCAAACTCCCGTGGGCGAAAAAAGTAGGAGTGATATTCCTCCTCAGCTTGAGCGTCATGTACGTGAACCTGCTTGCGGCTCACATTGCAGTACATCTTCCTAACTCTCCACCACAGTGCTCTGATAGCTTCTATCATAAAGGGGTACTTGATAAAGGAGCTCGGTGCGCGGGATGACTTTACATGTCGGTTGAATTTCTCCCCCAACTATCGGACACCGCTCATTTAGAAAGGGAATTTCATCACATTCCAGCTATGGGCCTCGGCCGAGAACTACATCGTCATCATATGCGCCATTGGGCCCGCATTGAGAGCACTCCTTAGAAGCGAGAAGCGCTCACCTACCGATGAAATCTACGAACTAGGCAGTGGAACTCGTTCCAGCCGTTTAGGTGCTATGATGGCGCAGAAATGGTGGTCGGCTTCAGGCGCTTCGCACAGAGAGAAGCCGGGGGACGACAATGGCTTGGCTAGGAATCGACCAGGAGGGTCCAGCCAGGAAAATATTCTGCCATTGTCGGAGCATTGCATTGTAAAGAGGACGGATGTGGATTTGATATATGAAGTGGAAAAGTAGGCACCGTACCGGCTCCCAGACCGAGCACTTGGCCAGATCGCTTGCCAGCCCCGGCGTCGTGAGCATTAGGTCGATTGCGGACATCCACCCCGCATCGCTTACGAACTTATCCCTCTGGGAAGGAGAAGACTCTGTAGGGGCAGCTCCGCCATGAAGTCGATGATCGGCGCACTCTCCTCTTGTCTCGGCGCGTTGCTGATGTGGCTCCGTCCCCATAGCGTGTGTCGGTTGGAGTCGCCAGCAACCAACCCTGTCTAGGTCGCGTACCATCTCTCGCTCCACAGTCCGTTGATCATGCCCAGCCTGCTAGAGAGTTCCTCCAGCTTCACATCCTTTGTCCCCTTCGAGCATAGGTCTAGAGGGTCGGCGTTCTGTCTCGATAATACGATTCCAGCTCGCTATAATGCTACTCTGCTGCTGTATCGTCTTGCTTAGGGTCACAGTGGGCTTTGCGACTTCATGCAGCCTATTGCTGCAGTCTTCTCGCTCTGGTGAGACTGTCGCGCGTCTGACGGAAAATAATGCCCGCTTATCGCTCGGCTCTTCGTCCTGCGCTCCTTGAGATTCTAATGCTCCATTCCGCGCGCATTGGTACCGTTAGTACTTTCGTACTCGGCTTTTTCCGCGCGTCCTATGGCTGGGGCCAGGGGCGGTGGTGAGTCGCGTCCTGGTGTTGAGGGCACCATCGGGGCTCCGATGCGGTTGTCGCTGGGCCGCGAGCGAACAGGAATCGAGCTCGCTCTGCGTGTGTTTCTTACTCCGCAATAAGCAATAGGTTCTGCGGCTACGGTTAACGAGACAGCTCCCGGTGCCCAAGGGGGAGGGCTAACCGATGGCGATGGTGCTTCTCCACCGCCCCGTGCGCGCATCCCATGGCGGCTCTCGAAACCAAAGACGCAGCGCTACACCCAAGCGCTGGCTCCACCGAAAATGAAAGCGGAAACGAAGGGTGAGCCCTACTGCCTGGCAGGTCATCGTATCTCGCCGTGTCCTAGTCTCAATCGCAACGGTTCTCAGACCGCACCATCAAACATTCTCGTGGAAGATGCTTCGATTTCTCGCTACGCTATGTACCTTGACCGGAAATCCTCCCCACTGGAGCAGCTTCAATATCCAGACTGCGGCCAGATCTGGGCGATGTCGCCGCAGTTGCTGCTTTAGACATAGCCCCCTCCTTCATTTCTTCAGCTTCATCTGCAGCGACTACCGTCGCAGCCCTCGACATTTGTACAGTTCCAGTGTCATTTTCGAAGTCCAACCCCCACAACCCATTCGCAATAGCGCGTGCTTTGTACTTGAGGATAAACCCGACGGCGACTGGACCTAGGATGGTGTTGAGCACGATTGCCCAGACGGCGGTGATGAAGGCGTCTTTCGAGAGATACGGTGTATTGTTGAGGCCGATCTGCACGATGAGTAGTCCGATCTCGCCGCGAGCAACCATGGCGCAGCCGAGCAGCATAGCCGGCCAGAAAGTTTCCGTTAAGCAATCGCGGACAGACGTGTCCCGCGGTCGTTGGAGGATAGTGGCCGCTGGAATAACAAGGCCAACGACGACCTTGCCGATCAGCATCAGGATAGTGTACACCAGTCCTTTCCAGACTGCCTCCGCGGTCCACAGGTCTACAAACGGTATCGCGAAACCAATGGAGGCGAAGAAGATGGGCTGCAAGATGTACTTGACAACGTCCAGGAAGTATTTCTCGAACGTATGCATGAAGGAAGGCGATATCTCTGGCTCGCCGGTCATCGGGTTCGACCGCATCGATCGTGCCTCTGCTTCTTCAGCGTCCTCGCGCGAAGGAACCACAAATGGACCAGTAGGGTGTTTTGTGGGCAGGTAGGTAAGGAATGCTCCAGCGAGGAAAGAGCCGTATAGGACCGATGTGCCTCCGAAGCCGGTGATACTGAGGAAGACGCATAGCACGAGGATCATGAAGACGACGTTGATGACATGTCGTTTCCGGGACTTGGGGAACTTTGGCTCGAGGTATCTGCGAAAAAGCGGCGCAAGAGCGTACTTTCCAAGCAAGGGCGTTAGGATGGCGAGGAGACCAGACACCATCGTCGGCCGGCCAATAAGCCAGCCAAGGTTGACGTCGTCGTCGTCGCCGAGCGTCCCAAGGTTGCCGATAACACTGCGCGCTCTTAGTTCCCGTCGAACACACCTTGTCTCGAGGCGCATACCTTGCCATGACCAATCCAGAGACATCATCGAACACTGCGGCACTGACCAGTGCGGTACCAACACGGGTGTCTGAGAAGTTTACCTCTTTGGAACTCTTGCCGAGGACGACGAAGGTAGTTCCCAGAGACGTTACCGAGAGCGCGGCTCCAATGATGAATGTTTCGACCGCTCCTGCTCCGCCGTTAACAAACAAGCTGGACATTTAGCATTGGGGCCTTACCATATCCGAATGCAGCATAGCACAAGGCATACGTGAGACCGATAGGGAACACAACCCCTACAGTGGCCGCGATCATGCTGAGCACGAAATTTGCTTTGAGTAAATCTAGCCGCACGGCAAGTGCGCCTTCGAAGATAATGAGGATGAGGCCGATATATCCGAGTGCGACGAAAGCCTCTTGCCACTCTACAGGCATCATGGTACCGCCGATAGGAAGACCATAGATGAGACCAACGATGATTTGACCAATAAGGCCAGCTCGAAAGATCTTGTTGGAAATCCATTCGCCGAATGATAGCCAGAAGAAGAATGAAATAAGAAGCAGGATCTGGATAACTAAATGGAATTAGCTGGAATGGCCCCCTCTCCATGTGTTTGTTGCACTTACTGCTAGGTTCATGATACTGGAGGAAACCGTCCGTTTCCTTCGCAGAATCCGCGGCTCTCTGTGCAAGTTGCGCGCTCAGGGACATGATGGAGAGAAATGCGATGCGAGTTAATGGACCACAATGGGGTAGGTCCCCTCTTATCTTTCACATGTCGGCGCTTCCAAGCTTTCTTTTGTTTCTGGCGGCTGCTGCAGTCTCCGCCATGGCGAAATCCAGAGACTTGGTGTTTGGATTCCGCTTGGCTGTCTAAGGTTGGGCGGTGACTAACGAGGCAGAAAGGGGAAAGAGTCTAGAGTGATGTGGAAGCCAAGCCCGCTTAGGGAGGGGGCATGTTTCGCTTGGCGGCATTGTGGCGTAGCTCAACAAATAGCACAACATCTTCGGTCTCGTGGCCAGCCACTAGATATCTGCAACACCGCAAATAGCTTTATCGCAATGTTCAAATCCTTGGCCAGGTCCACAACTTGGGTCAGATATCCTTTCTGTCTGCTCCCAGAGGCCCACAACCGCGTTTCCGGTGATCTTGGGTGTCCCGACGAGAGCCCTCTTGAAACGAAAAACGTCGCTTTTACCCAATGGCGGGGGTGCCAAGTAAATACGGGCGGACACCCAAGTGGTGGCTTGCTCCAGGCTCCGCTCAGGCTCCGCTCCGCGGCGGAGGTCACGATCCAGCACTGCGTCTCACTATCCGAGACAAGTATTACCTACACAGCAGAGACCAAGCATCTAGCCAAGAGATGGACCACCGGCATAAACTTCGTCGCAGCCTAGCCTGTGATAATCTTGGGTGAATGTGTGGATCACGTGATTCCATCTCAGCTGCGCGATCTTACCATCCATTCGGAGCGAAAAGCATGTCAGAAGTATATCCAGGTAATAGATTAATTTGATTTGTTGTTAACTGCAGCGTACACCGCGACTGTTATATTCACGGTGGACCTCGGGATGTATTTGATCATGACGTCCCTAAAGCACCTTTGCATGTTCGGACTGTGCAGAGATGGGGTAATATTGCCTCGTCTCAGGAGACATGGATGTGGGGAATAGAGTTCACGAGTGGGAAACAATGGGAGAATGGCGGAAGGTAGAATCAAAGGTCAGATGAAAGAGTCCATTCATGTTCTATAGGGATTTCTCAGACCTTCCCATATTCGAGCCGATCACCCCTAGGTAGGGTTTCAGTATATACAATACACCAAGAACAGATAAACGCCTAAACTATAAACGAGTGTAACTGTGCGTACTCAACGATGCTATGCCAAAACGATACAAGACAAACGAACGATGCTGAAACTGCGAACTTTTTCTTCCTATATACATGTCTGCTGAGGGAGGACCAATCACAATATGTGCCATGATCAGAACGATTGTCGGACGCCTCATAAAAGTGTTCCCCTAGGTGCGTCGCTTGGTGATAAACCCGCTAGGTGCGGGCGCGTCTGTGGGGAGAGGAGCGCCTGAAGGTGGAGGCCCCGTCGGCTGGGGAGCATCGGACGGCGGAGCGCCGGTTGGGCGCTGACCGCTCGGTACGGGTCCAGATCCTTTAGCCAATCCGCTGGGCATTGAAGGTGGTGAGCCGGAAGGCATTGGGGGCGGGCTTCCGCTCGGTAGAGGTCCGCTCGGCATGGGTCCGCTCGGCGCGGGTCCGCTCAGCGCGGGAGCATCGCTTTGTTGTCGTCGTCCGATACCGCTTGGAGCGCCAGCTGGCGGAGTGCCAGAAGGTGGAGTGCCAGAGGGCGGAGGACGCGGGGCGCCACTCAGGCTGGCGCCGCTAGGCAACGGGGGTGGTGAGCCAGACGGAAGACCCGTTGGCACTGCGCCGCTCGGCAATGGAGGAGGAGCTTCGTCGCTCTGAGCAGCAACCTGCGCGCCAGGTGAGCCGCTTGGGCGCTGTTGAGGTGTGCCAGATGGTGGTGGACCAGATGGTTTAGCACCGCTCGGGAAAGGACGACCGGATCCTTTCGCCACGCCAGTAGGAGGAGGCGGGGGTAGAGAGCCAGAGGGAGTGAAGCTTTGGGCCGAGGCCAAGCCGGCAATGGCGAATGCGCAAGCGATGCGGTTGAAGTTGACCATTTTGAAGGAAGGATGCGAATCGAAGCTTCAGAGAAGATGAGAAGCGAAAGAAAGCTGTACTGAAAATGCGCGGGAGGTGTTGTTGAAGCGAAGAAGAAGGGAGATCAGTGAGTGAGTGGTGGTCTCTAAACAGTACCTTCGATTCCACCTTTATACTCCTACTCTCTTCTCAAAGAGTGCAACCTCTAGTCCTACCATCGTCAACCATGACGCGGCCCTATGCATTCATTGCACAGGCGGGCCCAGCATTGCGAAGAGCACATCCACAGCCGCGATGCGCACTCTACCTGAGGCTTGCGAGGACCGGCGCATGTCTCCAGACGAAGTTTCAAGTTCCCCTTTTCCTGCTGTCGTCATTCGACTGCTGTTTCATGGTGCAGAGCCGCATTGAGCTTCCGCGAAACATAATTGGCTGGCCGGAAGTTTTGTTTGTCCAGATGCTTGGACGGTAGTTGCCGAACTCCACCGCTTACGTGTCGTGATGGGCTGAACGCACGCAGTCGCCAACGTGCGCACTTCTTCAAGCGGACTGTCGCAGGGCATGGTTGCCCGATATCGGTTAGAGTGTTTCCAGTGTTGCTCGAATATTCGCAAGTTGGCGTTCTCTGGAGCTCCAATTTTGGATTGCATGAGGAGCACACGCGGCCAAGCCCCGTGCCTACACAAGGGGAGTCGCGCTTTACTCGACTAGCTCTAGCTCTATGACTCTTCGCATCTTTGGCGTACGATAGCACATGGATGCTTGCGCGACCTATTCTTGTGGGAGCGGAAGAAGCCGGAAAAGGGCCGGATAATACCCGTCGGATATGCGTGGCTGAGGGGTGGCGTACACGCGACAAGCCACAGCGCTTTAGTGTCATTCGTCGCTACGCCTGCTCTATGTCTTCCTAGGAATTGCGTATACATTTCTGCAATGTGCCGAGCGGCTATTTTAGAGGGCAAGAAGCGAGCAATGAAAATCAGACAGCGTCGAACTTAATCATGGGAAAACATCGAAATATATCGAGAGATACACCAAGTATTGGCGTTAAATGATCCAAGGGGCCAGGTACAAGGAAAAGTGAACGTATCACACGCCAGCGGTTCAGTGGGCAGTGTGCAGTTTCTGGAACGGGGCGAAGAGAGGATGCTGACGCACTCGTTTCCACTGGTGTATAGGTCAGGCATGTATCGAGTCTGCGACGGCGATCTGCCCCAAGGGAATTAGCAGAAGATTATTTTGAAGAGATACCGCATCCATTGATCTTCCATTTACTCCCATCACCCTGCTCGTCCTCACAACAGCTGGGGCGAAGGCAGGCGGCACCGAGGCGCTAAGTGGCTGCTCGCTCATCCCGCGCCTCAAGTCTTAACGTTCCTCCGGCCAAAAACCACAATTCGGGTCCAAGAGATAGCGGTGTCATCGTCTGAAAGGCGTACCTGCATGCCATGAGCTAATAACGGACGAGTTCGGAGTTAGGAGTTAAGAAGACTAATGAGCCCGCTCACACCAACAAGAACACCGCTACTGACTGTCCGCGGTTAGTAGAGCCGCCTCATCGCGAGCGAATGTACCGCCTGTCCTAGCTCGCCTGTATGAGAAAGCGCCTTTCTCTTCCGCAATGGGTCCAACCGCGAAATGAATGCGATCCTTTCAAGACCACGCCCAAGTTACGTTCACTAGCCTACACTGCGAATCGATCGAGGTAAGTATGCCAAAACAGTATCATGCTATCGGATAAGTGGCTGCCCTAAGAAGCAAAAGGGTAGTGCGTCTTGAGGCTTGGAAGGCCTAACAGCAGCTGAGAAGGGTCTCGATATACCGACATCTGTTTGGCTCGTTTCGTTTGTCCGCAATTCGCCCTGGACATCCTACACCCTGAACATTTCACCAACCCTTGTCCCTCCGGCGACCCTCCGTTCCGTACGTTGTCCGGCGTTGAATGTTCCGGGTATATCAGTGGAGCCGCGGGTATGTATGCCGCTAAAGTGCACAGTATAGACTCACACGCTTGTCGACTACTTCCTCTCCACTTCCCCTCAACCATCGATTATCGAAATGACGCCACATTTCCCCCAACGCAAGATTGGGGACGACCTCATATCTGCCATCGGGCTCGGATGCATGGGCATGTCAATTCCCACTTCGTCCGGGCTTCCCGACGAGGATGAATGCCTCAAAGTGCTCACCGCCGCCGCCGATATGGGAATCAACTTCTGGGACACGAGCGATGCGTACGGCGACAACGAGAAGATCCTTGGTAGATGGTTCCGGGAGACTGGTAGAAGAGATGAAATTTTTCTCGCGACGAAGTTTGGTGTTAAGCGTACCGATACCGGCATGGTGATAATTGGCAAACCAGAGTATGTGAAGGAGGCCTGCGAGTCAAGTCTCCAGCGCTTAGGGACCAATCGCATCGATCTCTACTACCAGCACCGCGTCGACCCCGCGACGCCTATCGAGAAAACAGTCGGGGCAATGGCGGAGCTCAAGAAGGAAGGGAAGATTCGCTATCTTGGCTTATCGGAGTGCTCAGGCCGAACTCTTCAAAGAGCGTGCAAGGTGCACCCAATTGCAGCATGCCAAATGGAGTTCTCGCCCTTCGCCCTCGATCTCGAGACGACCGGCTTTCTAACCATGGCGAGAGATCTGGGCGTCGGAATTGTCGCCTACGCTCCGCTAGGCAAGGGCTTCCTCACAGGAGCCATAAAGAGCCGAGATGACTTCGAGGAAAAAGACATGCGAAAGACTCATCCCCGCTTTTCTCAGGAGAACTTCGCGAGCAACCTGCGCCTGGTGGACATGTTCGCTTCATTCGCGAAGGAGAAAAATTGCACTACCGGGCAGGCAACGCTTGCGTGGGTTATGGCTCAGGGACAAGGTAAGCTAAACCACGCAAATAAATGGCGGAGGGCTTACGTGCAACACCTAGACTTCATTCCTATCCCTGGAACCAAGCACATCAATTATCTGAAAGAGAACGCAGACGCTGTGAACGTCACATTTTCCAAAGAGGACGAGGAGCGTGTGAGGGCGATTATCGACAGTATTGGCGGAGCAAAAGGGGCACGCTATCCCCCGGCTTTTCAATCGGCGTGCTTTGGCGACTCTCCAGAGCTGGAGAATGAATGAGGGATGCCGCGTCATGACAGTCTAGCGTCATCGTATGAGCTTCTCGGCGACTCTGAACGTCGTGCTAGATTGTCGTCTAGACATAGGTAGATAGTAAGAAAGCTCTCTGGTTTTCGAATCCTGTGTAAAGCTACAACCGTGGGATGTGACGTATTTCGAACCTTATACCGAGCGCATTGCTAAGAAACTCGATTCGCAATGCATCCACATGATTTTGGGAGCGTTTGCGTCGCATGAGCTATAATGGTCCTGACATCGACGCAGGAGTGACCGGTCAGCAAGGGCGTTCGCGTAGGTCAATGGGCAGGTGCAGTATCCGGTACAGATCGCAAGGGGGGTTCCGGAGAGGGTCGCCAGTTGCCCAAGAGCCAAGGTGATAGCAGGCACGACGCGCTTGTGAGACGTGCACCTGCGGTATCCTAAAACTGTGTCCGCATTCTCTCCCCATCCCGCGTTGCCTCCCTTCTTCTCTCCCTCTCATATAATCGCATTCTTTTATCTCAAGTCGTATCACCACATCCGTTACCAGCATCTACAGAAAAGTCGAAGAACCATGTTCCGCGCATCTTCTCGTCGCCGATTCGGCTCTCTGCGGCCATCGGTCGAATACATTCCCTCTGATTCCGTTCCTACCGATAGACCTGCGTGCACCACCGATTTCGTTCCGTACCCGGAGAACGGACGTAGCGACTCTGCCCCAGCATCATCCTCTTCAAGCGGAGGCGGAACGGACAAAGTCAGAGCCAATGCGTTCCGCCAGACAAACGAGTCGAGCGACGGCCGGGGCGGAGGTTCCTTCGTAACGCTCCTGCGGAATCCCCCAAGCACGTTCGCGGCCCAACAGACACTCAATGCGGCACGTCTCCAGCTACGAGCACAGATGCGTGAAGGCAGTCAGAGCTTCCCGGAAATCGATCAGGACGGCAATGTCGTAGCCATCCGCATGCAGCCAAGCCATTAGGATCCGGTCAAGTCTGCGAGGAGATCCAGAAGGGAGACCAAGCCGTCCCGGTTGAGGGAAGTGCAGTGCGCTGGGGAGCAGGACGCTAGGGAGGACACTGCCCGAGGGCGGAAGCGGGCGAGCGGTCTGATGGATGCAGAAGCAGATGGATGCAGGGGCAGCGGCAGCGCAGAGCAGTGGTGCTTACGCACGTTATGCTGTTCATTTTGCAAGGACAGTTGGCTGGAGGCGAGAGTGATGTTCGATAAGTGTGGTGTCTCCGGGCCGAGGCATTGAGGCCTAGGGGCCTAAAGTGGTTTAGCGCAATTCAAGCTTGTGGGGCCACACGGCGTGTAACACCTGGACCCTTTCGAGCCCGGCTTCACACCTCCATCCCACATCATCTTTGTCCATCACGCGTCATCCGGGGTTGGCAAGTCGCGGAGCGGTAAGAGGAGCATAGTGTGAAGGTCAGCATCAACTCAGACGCCGCTTTCTCCTAAAGGAAGGCGCTGCGAACGCCGCACTGTCAAGTCAATACTCAACACATCTCGCAATTCCTCCCGCGTCTATAGTTGGATGTGGTCCAGCCTCGGTTGATCTCCGCCTACTGTTCTATTTGCGTTAGCTGAGAAGGGGAGCTTCCCGTTCGCGAAGCCAATAGCGCTGCGTGGCACAATGTTCTCCCGCTCTTCGACAGCCTTCCAGTATTCTGTTCCCGGATGAGAGGGCAAGTCATATCAGCTTTCCTGGGGAAGTGCTTGTCGCCAGACGCGAATCGGAGCCATGCATGGAGTGTTTCCGTTACTCGATCTGGTTCATGGGAGAACCTTGCACCGTCACGTACAATTTCTCCACGAATCGAACATACAGAGAGTGGTTTGATCGAGCTATGGATATTGAAAAAGGAAGCAACACATTCAACTAATATGGGACAATAGACTCTTGGCTGTTCACCTGACTGGGTGAGGACCCGGTCGACTTTAGCCGCGGATGTCAAAGTCATATAGGGAATTACGCCGAGAGCCTCACGATTCGCACAAGGTGTTCTTCGACGGACATAGTCAAGGGTCCGCCCCAGACGATCGCCTTCCCTGATCTGCCGGAATATTGTTCCATGGGGAAGGCACTTTCTATCGGCATGCATTTACCGTGGCGTTTAATCAACACCTCTCATACCGCACCCATCTCCATCAGAATGGAATGAAAAGCGACTTTTCGCCGAGCGGCCTTGGCTATTTTCAGATTCTGATTATACCTGCGCCCGGGAAGATAGCCGGCTCCGAGATGGGATCGAGTATAAGAGCGCCGGGGCATGTCCATGAGGTCCATTTGACTCCCACGACACCCCTCGATTTGCACGATCACCTGTCGCCATGAAGTTCCTACTTGCTTCGATTCTGTCCGCCAGTGCTCTGGTCTCCGCCTTCCCCATGGCCGAGCCAGAGTCGCTCTTTGAGGAGCGCCAGGCTTCTGAGAGCATCAACGCCGCCATGGTGGCCAAGGGCAGGAAGTACTTTGGCACCTGCACTGACCCGAACCGTTTCAATACGGGTTCCAATGGCGCCATTATCAAGGCCAACTTCGGCCAAATCACTCCGGAGAACAGGTGACAGCATATCATACTCACTGCAGCGGTACTGTTCTAACGAAAAGTAGCATGAAGTGGGACGCCACGGAATCGTCGAAGGGTAGCTTCAGCTTCGGCACTGCCGACCAGACGGCCAACTTCGCTAAGACCAATAACCTCCTCCTCCGTGGCCACACGACCGTCTGGCACTCTCAGCTCCCTGGTTGGGTCTCATCGATCCGCGACAAAGCCACGCTGACCTCGGCCATGCAAAACCACATCAACACTCTCATGGGCCGCTACAAGGGTCAGGTCTACGCGTGGGATGTCATCAACGAGATGTTCAACGAGGACGGCAGTTTCCGCTCCTCCGTCTTCTACAATGTCCTCGGCCAGGACTTCGTCAGGATCGCCTTCGAGACTGCGCGTGCCGCGGACCCGGATGCGAAGCTGTACATCAACGACTACAACCTTGACCAAGCCAGCTACGCCAAGACTCAGGGCATGATCAAGAACGTCAAGTCGTGGATCTCGGCCGGCATCCCGATTGATGGTATTGGCTCGCAAGGCCACTTGACCTCCGGTCAGGGTGCTAACGCTCCCGCTGCCATGGCCGCTCTGTGTGCTGCAGCTCCCGAGTGCGCCTTGACCGAGGTCGACATCCAGAACGCCTCGACTGCCGACTGGACCAACGTGGTCAAGGCATGCATGCAGGCGAAGAACTGCGTTGGTATCACCGTCTGGGGTGTTCGTGATAGCGACTCCTGGAGGCCTTCCGGCAATCCGCTGCTGTTCGACTCCAGCTACAAGCCGAAGGCGGCTTACGACACCGTCCTCGCTGCCATCAACGCGTCTTAGGCCGGGCGATCATGTATATATGTCTCTCACACTGTACATAGCCACTAAAATGAAACGATGCACTCTATGCACCATCCTCATGAGTGAGCGTCCTCCTTCTTTAGGAGTGAGCTACGGCCTAGGCCATGCTTGATGATTGTCCCAATCGCAAAATTATGGTAGTGCAGTGTAGAGAAAATGATTCTGTGACCGAAGCGGCCTTGGTGCGAGCGACGGGAAACGCGACTTCACGTGTTTGTGCCTAGATGGGAGCAGACCCGTGGACGCCCGTGGACGACGCGGTCTTGTTCCCTCGTTGCACCGCGAATTCGCGTCCAACAATGGCATCGTTCTCGTTGCTTTGTTGCCGCGCCCGAATAATCATCTTTGATGCTATTTGTAGCCTTCCATAAGGAATAAAGAGCAGCGATGCTAGACAAAGCATTGTTCTTCGACCCGCTCTTGCCCATATATTTATCCACGTAACACGTCTTCTGCGCGATACAGCATCGCATCCAAGCCCTCAACCTCGAGCGAAACTCACTAAGCCACTTACAAGCAAACCAGAGCGATGCCGCGCCGCGAATTCATAGTCGAACCAAGCACAGCCATGCCCAAGGGCTACGCCTTCCTCAAGAAAGGCATCAAGTACAAAACGCTGCACTGCCGCCGCCTAACCCACGAAGCAGGAAAACCCGTATACGTAGTCGAAGACAAGAAGAAGAAAGTGCTTGGCATCCGCGTCCCGAAATCCATCTTGTTCCACGTCCAGTCGCTCGCCAACGAAACGCTCCCGGCCCGCCGCCTCGCCACCGAGCAGCGAGACGCAGCCCTAATCCGGGCCGCTGCTACCGAACTTGACAGGCGGTTTCCGCTTATACCAAAGGATGATAGGGAAGCGGTGCTGAAGCATGGGTTTAGGAAGTATTCAGGAAGGGTCGGCAGGACCGGCCAGATTCCGATACCCCGAAAGGTGCTGTATGCCGTTATTGCGCACATCAGGCATAAGCATACGAGGTACGATGAGATGTTGAACGAGGGAATGGATAGGGATGCCGCCAGGAAGGCTATCCAGGGGAAGGTGCAGGCCATGTTGCGGAAATGGGGCGCCACCGAAGGTGAGGATTAGGGCCGCCGATCGTCGACGGGCCGCGTGCTGACATGTTGATGAGACTTCTCTTGGTATTTTGAGTCATCACTTGAGTAAATTGATTGAAGGGTTCATTGAGCAATATTCATTGGGCAATGAAACGTAAGTGAAGATTGTCTTACCCTTTCGTTGCTCCTAGTCTCTTTGAAGGGCAATCATCCCTTTAGCCCCATACGTACCTTTCTCTAGACCTTTGCTCTCTTATCAACCCTAACGGTCTATGCCTTAAAAATTCGTTTCATCGTCCGCATCTTCTTCCCAAGCTTTTCTACCCGCGGCCTTCTTATTCTGTGACGACTTGCATCTTACCTTGTCGCCGGGCATTTTCGGGGCCCCAGTGGTTTTTCCATACCATCTTTATCCTTCGCTGCCTAGGTGCATAGAGGCTCATGCATAACTGTTGGTTGCTGATGTAAAGACCAAGGACAGGCAATGTTGCCAACATAACTACCACAGTGCGGGCATGATGGAAGCTAGTAATAAGACTTGATGTGGGTTCATCTGCTACTGAATACGACCAGTCCTCTTCTACAGGCTCCCCAGCGTCTCCCCTCAAGATCACGCTCAACTGCTGCCGAAAATCTTCGCAAAGTACCCACTTTCGGCCAGCTTCACGCTCTCTTTGGTATACTCATCAAGGTCCTCCTTCGGCAACCCCAGCTTCTCATTATCCAAGCCGTGCGTAACCTCAAACAAGGCGGCATTGTCACCGGGGAAGAAAGCCCTTGTGTAGAGGACCGTTGCGAAAGCACGGTAATCGCCCGTCGCCATCCTCTTCTGCGCTTCCTCAAATCGCTGCTTCGCGGGAACCGAGGAGATTTCCCAGTCCGCGTTCGTGGTTCCGGTGACGCGCTGCACCGAGTCGAGCATCTCGCGCTGGTTGAGCGTGAAAGAGGATACGAAGACGAAGCGGTTGCGGTAGGAGCTCAGCGTAACATTCTTGTCGTTTTCGTCCTGGGGTAGGATGGGAAGCGAGAGGAGCTGAGCGATTGCGCGGCCGGTCTGCGGCCATGTGGACGTGTTCAGGCGCTGCTTTCCGTCGTCGAAGAACACGACTTCGCGCTTGGCGATGTCGATGCCGTACAAGCCCGGTCCGGCGAGCGAATACTCGTACCAGAAGCCGCATGCGATGCCGATCCAGGAGGAGACGCCGAGCGATTCGATGAGGTCGCGGTCCTTCTTCTTGCCGGGACCAATCACTATGTCTCTTCCGAGCTCCTCGTTGGTTCCATCGCCACCGAATTCGTTGGGCAAGACCCAGGGGACGCCGGCTTTCGCGGCAGCTTCGATCAGCTTCGCGGATTGGCCTGGTGGAGCGCGCACGCTCATGGTGATGATGAGGACATCATGGTCTTTTAGGGCTTCGACGAGGGTGTCCGGCTTGTCGTAGTCGACGGCGGCGATGTGGATGCCAGGTACCGGCGTGTTGGTGCTACCTTCGCGGGTGATAGCGGTAATTTTAAACTTGTTCTTCTCGAGGAGAGCGGAAGAGATGAACTTCCCGACCTGGCCTGCTGCACCGACTATGGCGATGTTTTGGATGTGGTTCTTGAAGGTTGAGGGTTGGTTGCACGCGTACTGTTGGGCCATTTTGATGGTGTAGGTCTAGTTCTGGGAATTTAGACGTGAGTAGACCAAAGATGAATATGATTTGAAGATGCTGAGGATGATAGGGATCAGTAGGAACTACTGCCACCTTTTATATCTTCGCAAGAAGTGCCACGAAGCAATCCTTAACTCCGCTGTGGGATTTCGGCCAGACGGTGTTGTCTTCGCTGTGCGCTATACGGGCAGGCAAGGCCGCTTTTCGACCGACAGGCTTATCCGGTGTTCGACCGACTTAGCCATTTGCAATTGGACGACTTTCAAAGAATATGCTCTCAGGAAATGACTGACGATGCCCACTATTGGGTTAGCGCCATTCAGATACGAACACGGGTTAGCCGGTTTCCCTATTGGGTATGTCAAGCGATAATCAAACCGTAAATTCAACAGTTTGAGAGGTCCGCCTTTTTCTTCTTCAACTTGGTCGCATGATGCGTCTCGGGCCAAACGGACACGCATTCTCGGAGAGCAGAGCAATGTTCTTGATTGACACGCATTCATTCTTTGTCTTGCAGCCCACAGACCCGCCTCGTACTTCCTTGGCGTGCTCGCTGAACAGCCTCTATGGCTTTCTCCGACCTTTTCTGTCGCCCTCTGAACAACTCCAGCATTTCGGGTCTCGGACTCCCACGCTCACAGTACGAGGAGCCTCCGTCCTAGCTATTGAACCAGTCCACGCCCCGGACAAGATAGTCGCAGATATACCCCACAACCATTCCATAAACCCCTTTATGCATCAAATCAACGACCTGCTCGTTGATCGGCCACGTCCAAGGCATCGCGCTCACCCCCGCCGTATTCTCCACGAACTGGTCGATTGCGATGCGGATCCCCGTGTGCACGAAGCTCGCAATAGGCCCAATGATACCATAGTACGACATTCCTGCTCGGATAGCGCCTGCTATGATGCCCATGCTGAGGTGGTGCGCGTGGTTGAGAATGTCCGGATGGTGGGAGTAGAGGGCTGGGGAGACGCCGAGGTGGTTTGCGATGGTTCGGGCTGGGACGTATGAGTTTGGGCGGTCTGTGAAGAATTGCTCGATCTTGCTGGTGCCGGCCATGCTGATTGCTATTAGTATGGAGGCCTGGACTACTGGAGTTGAATACCTGCGTGAGGGCGCCGACGACGCCTGCTCCCATGCCGATCGCGACCGCCTGGCCGAAGGAGACCTTGGGGAACGCGGGGAAGTTTGACTTCGCGTCCGGATAGGCGTAAGTGCCCGTTGGGGTGTTGTACTGCGGCATTGCGCTTGCGCGAGGAGCTGGTATACTGGGTTGCTACCTGACAGGACTGGCGGAATGCCCTTATGAAGGTTCACGAGCATCGTGAATTAAGTCAAGCTGACGTCATTGGCACCTACGCGGCCCTGACGACCCCTTCTCGCTGTTTCGCTTCCATGTTGAAGACCAAAAGCGCACTCTTATCGAACCCCATGGAAATGTTGAATGTCGAAGATGCGGCTGTGGTCGGCGTCGCTGCAGCCGAGCATTCTGATTGGCATTCGACGGCATCCTACGAATCGACTGCATCGACCATCAGCATCGAAGATATATCTAGACGCGCTGCATTTCCATAATCCGTAATATGCCGGTACCGGGGTCAGTAGTGCTGGAATAAGTACACCACGACTCGTACGTGTTCACTACGACACACCGTGGGAGTCACAGAAGTCCCGCTGTTAGTGAAACGTGACCATCAACAAATTCCGAACCAATCAATCACGATCGGGGAGCTGCATTATATAAAGTCAAACATTCCGCGGAATCAAAGGTGGAGAAATACTCTCCTGTAGCTCCCCAATTCATTTACAATCGAGGATCGTAGAGTGACGAGAGAAGGTCTCATGGATCCAGGACAGAACCGGATGGAAGGTGCTGAAGGTGGGGTAGGTGAGCTATTAGATGCTCCTAGAATACAGGGGATACTTCTTGTTGACGTGCAATGCTCAAGCTCGGCTCCGCAAAAGGCTTTCTTGATCTACCCGGCGAAATCAGGAACATGGGTAAGCACTCGCTCTATCAATACTGCGGCTCTGCTAATCGTGGCGCCACCTGGGGTAGCCTATGCGCTCGTTATCCTGGAGGGATGTTTCGCTCTGCCTGCAGACGTCGAATGCAGCTCCGCCAGCACGAACAACGATGACGGATGCGAAAATCAGAATTTCGATATCGATTGGGCTGAGCAGTTCACCCACCACCGCCATCTAAACGAGATCGCCATCGACCAGGCCGGACGTCTCCATACTAACATCCCGCCGTTGAGCCTAACGTGCAACGCAATCTTCCAAGAGATGCACCCGCGCTTCCCTCAAGAATTCGTCGTTCATGTTACTCACAACAACATCCGTCCCTTCTTCGATCGGCGAGGGATCTTCCACGATATCGAGCGACTATCCGGTGTGAAGTTCACCGAGTGGAACACGACGGTTGTGCTTCACGGGGTCTCGAAAGCAACAGGTAGAGCAGATGCGCCCGATATCAGGCTCTCCAATCTCAAATGGTGGTTCACGAGGTGCTGGGTTGACGGCTACCCGGCGTTCGATGCGGAGTTGTACTACGTATGGAATCCAACGCCCTTGTCGCCCGGGGGCACGAACTGGGGCCATCCAGACCCCCATCCCACAGAGCACAACCCCGCAGTATTCCAGCGAAAGTGCATCGATCTCCTCCGATATCTAAAGATGCTTCACGAGACCAATATCGAACTATGGCTTGAATGGACGCTCGAGCTCATCCAACAGTGGAATCGCATCAATGATCAACGCGAAATCATCACCTCGGCCGGCGCAACGGGGAAGCCAATGGTTATCGACTACGCCGAAACCGTTGGGTTGATGTTCGATGCCATAATAGGTATCTGCAACACGGTATACCGCCCGCACCTCGATCTTAGGGATCGAAACATCATATCCCTGGGAAACTCGATTCATATGTTGCTAGAAGCGGCTGTACAGGCGGCTTTTGGTGATGCATTCCTGGCTTCGAAGAGGAGCCAATTCTTGTCGTCGCTTCCCACTGCCGGGCGGAGGCGCGCTGGTTGAGCTTGACCAAAGTTCATACAGCTTGGGCGAGCGAGGGCTGCATCCTTATGCTGCCGCCTATCGATATTGTGAGCCCAGAGTTCAAATAGGCGACCTTAGAAATCAAGCACTGGCATGTCAAAATTATGACAACGGCGCCGATGGTTGTCAAACATGTTTTTGAATACTAGTATAGTTGCAGCGCTGCCTAGTTATGGTGTTGTTTCCGTTCCTGTGAAGGGGTCCATCGCCTGGATGACGCATCCTTCCGTGACTCGTCGCAATGACCAACATGAGCCCATGGCTGATAAAGAGTCACTCGCAACAGCAGAACGCGTATTGTCGCCTACGTACGTGCTATTCGCGTTGCACATTTTCAGAATGCTTCTCTTTAGCAAAGACTTCGTCCAAAATCGCAACAATGGATTTTCGGTACCAAGGCCCTTAGGCCTCCAATCAAATGTCAAGATCCTATATCAAGCCTTGCACTAGAGCACACGCCATACGCATTATCGAATTATCAAAGCGTTTTAATGTGCGACGCTGCTGAAGAATGACTGTGCAACCAAAGTGACTCAAGTGCGTGCTCACATGCACGGACGAACTCTTGAATTCCCAGTCAAGTATAGAACTAACTCTTCCAACAGTACGACTTCATCAAACCTACACCCCCAAGCACAAAATATTCAAACACACTCTCGGACACTCTCAGCCCCACGATCGATCAGTCGACGAACCGAGCGCCATGTTCTCACCCATGCCTACCCCAGCATCCTCGGCCCTGTCGCCTATTTCGCGAACCATGGCGGACGTGGAGAAGATACGTGAGCATCATAAAGGCCTAAACGCCGCATTCAATGCCCTTCGAAATTTCTCCAGAGATGTTTATCGTCCTAAGAGCGCGGCCGCAAATGTTCTCCTCGAATGGCACCGGGAGATCAAGCTTTTAATTCAATACGTGCCTCTTGGATTCACGGAGGCTTACTACATCGACCTAATAAAGAAACTTCAAGCGAGGATATACGGTACTATAAAAGAAATAATGGAGGCATTGAATCAGTGGCAGGCACAGTACGAGACATTGGTTTATACGGACATTGACGAGTTGTTTCGGGGTGTTGATACGGATGAGGTGTTGAGCCGTGAGGCCCGAGAGAGTGTGAATGAGGCCCGCAATACTTCGGTGAATGTCCGGTATGCTTGTGCTTTCGAGTGGGAGTGGGTGCGCGATATGGTTGGGAAGTACCAGAGCGCCCTAACTTCCGAACAATGCAACGAGCTTAAGCAGATTGTTGAATGACGATATGGCGGCTCCGGGACAGTAATCTTCACAGCAGTCCGCTGCGGGTCGAGGGGGGTTTGTATGGTTGTATGGCTGTTCCTGCCGAGACATCTCCGCAGGTGTCCGCTTTGAATCGAGAGTCTTCTTTCTTTCCTTGCACGAGCGTATCGCATAATGATGCCAGTTTCACAGTACGTGATTAGTTCAGCCCATGTGAACTAACTCATGGCACAGAACGTTCGAGGTTCGATGAACTACTTGATGATGTTGGTTGAGGACTGAGCCTACGCAGCTTATGAGCCGGCCTATTCTCCCCGTCTTTCCTACTCTTTCAAAATAGCGTCCAGCTACGAAACAGCCACGATATTATGACATACCCCTGGCGGTGCTTGCTGAGTCGCTTGAGGAAAGCTATGAGGCACTGTCGGCAACGCACGGCCCAAGTTGTGACTGTTCGCCTCTATTTAAATCCTCGCCCGTCCTTCACGCACCTCTTCATTACCACCTACCTCAAAGTCAACTATTTTCTGCAAAGCTTTCGCATACATTCTCCTCTACATCCTCGCGAACATTTCCGCAATTATCGACTCACTCGACCATAAGCATTTGGAAGATTACCTTCAGCAACACACCAAAGCACCAAACCGAGAAATGCAGTCCAACCAGAGAGGAGGAAGCCCGGAGACTCCCGAAAATATCAAGAGGAGTATGGAAGGGGGGATATCCTGGATCCAAAACACATACGGCAGTGACGTTGAACGCCTGCGCGAGAAGATCGGATACCTCGGGATACCCGAACTCATTCTGGATGAGCAATTACCTGACTTTCCTACCAAAGAAGCTCTATACAAGAGCATCAAAATCGAACTGCATCGTTTGTCGAGAATTCCCAAAAAGATACGCGAACACTACGACGTCACGTCGACGCACGGGGACGGCAATCACGATGTGTGGAGATTCAAAGTAGCGTTGCTCTCCGTGCAACAGAAAGTGCTAGAGGCAGCATCCACATTCGAGAGTTTCCTGAGCGGTAAACCCGATGATCCCGATGAACTCCTCCTGGCCAAGCTTCAGCAGATCGACGATTTGTATCCGCGGTGGCTCGAAAAGGAAAAGGAGCCGAAGACAGGCGAGATCATGGAAGTGCTTTGAAAATTGTAGCTAGACAAGAGTGGAGGTCTAGGCGATGACGGGTAACTTACGGGCACTGTTGTAATGGTACGGAGGGCTTTTCATTGTACTGTCACTACCGATTTGTTTTTGCGACCTAGCTAGATACTCTATATTATTGCATTGGCGGTTCCGTTCCACTGGGTCCACTTTGACGTGACTTGATTTCCCGTAATCTTGGATTCATTATTCCGACTGCTGTTTTCGAAGATGCGCTGCTAACCTCCAGCTTTCGCTATGACTAGCTGAATCGGGTTTCTGCATTACACTCATACCCAAAACCTGACCTGGCTCACTCATGACAAAGTGCTCCAAGCTGTCAGCACGAACCTATGACGGGCTACGGGACGTCCCAGATTTATAAATTCTCCTGGAAGAAGGCTAGCTCTCTTTTTCCTTACACCATCTTTGTTTCCCCAGCTGCATGTCACTGCTTGCGAAAAGGCAAGTACATCAATCAATCATCCATTCAACCTGCTTCCTTTACCACAAAGCACTACTACTCACACTATTCAACTTTACCCAAGAAAATGCCTTCGCAGACCGACAACCCCTTCCACCCTGCGTACCAACCGCAAAGCTCCCAAGGCACCGCGCCATATCTGTCCCGGAACCCGAATGCAGATCAGTCCACGCTCCACACTCTCTTTCGACCTCGAGAAAGCGAAAGAAGATGTCGACGCTCTTAATTACGTCCTCAAAGAACAATACGACGCCCTCGTCGCAACGATGGAATACGTTCGCTCGTTAGAACAATCAGGAGTGCCCGCTGAGCTCCAGAACAACATCTACAGGCTGTTCTGTATGGGGGCGCTCACATATATGCATGTCCGGAAGCCTTACCGAATCATCCTTGATGGTAGGCGGTATGTTCAGTGTTTGTCGGGGGAGCAGATTGCTAGGCAAAAGGAGTTGAAGGAATCGTGGGAAGGCCTGGCTGCGGCTGTCTTGCAAACGGTCCTGATCTTTCGGCCTTTCCAATATTTACAGGCCAAGCAATGGGCGGATATTCAGGCTCTTCTTTCTAAATGTGGAGTGGAGATGAAGTGGGAATAAGTTCACATCATGTACCGGCTTCGTTGGAAGAAGCGCAGGCCAGAGTACATAGTCTTCACCTACCTACTTGCCGCTCGAGCTCAGCGGTTCTGACTGTAATGGATATATAATGACTAGATTTGAATATGACTCTCCCAGCGATGCGCCGCTCAAGCTCAGCGGCGCTGACGATAAAGTATACATAATGGTGGAGCACGAATATGACTCCGCCAATGACATGACTGCACGAAGATGAGTCCAGCGCTTGGCTCGGCCACATATAAAAGCCCCAGTATCTCGCCAGAGGGTGCTCTCGTTCTCCTCACTTATACCCCACACCATCACCAATTGCCAAATCATCAATACCACCAGATTCAAACCCCGTTTACGGCTACTGCCACTCTCCACAGACCGAAAACTACAACGATCTCATACTACCACTATCCACGGACCGAAAACCTACAACAATCTCACGATGAGCGCCGAGGCCAGCAACCAATCTCAGCAAGAACCGCCAGAGCAAGAGACACCCGACTATGCCTTCATCGAGGCACTGACATCTCTGTCCAAAGCCGGAGGTGAATTGTTTAAGGTCGCCAGGCCAGTGCGAAACGACCTCAACGATGCAAAGAAAGTGAATCAGAAGAATAGGGATAAGGCAAGAGTCCGGGAGCTGAAGAAGAGAGGACAGAGCCTTGTTCAGAAGTTTCGAAAAGATCACTGGAAGCCCTTCCACCAAACGTACGGCGAACTCGACCTCAGCAAGAAGTTGAAGAAGTTAGCGGACGCTACCCGGGCTAAATTTCCGATGGACGGGAAGTCCTATCAGAACGTAGCAGGGTTCTATGATGATACGAAGGAGACTTTAGAGCGTCTAGAGAAGGACTTCTGGTGTTAATGTTGTTATTGCGCATAGCGCTGACTGTACTCATACACACAAATCCCAGACCTTATCCCCCCTATACCGTGCCATTACATTGACGTATTCCTTATCATGAAGATTCTCAAACCAATCCATAAAACTGCAAGAGCTTAACAGCGAGGCCACAGAAAGACCCGGCTCAGCCTATGAGTCTACGCAAGCCTGGACATCAGTGACTCCCTCACCGCAGAAGTTAAGTATGACACGAATCCTTGCATGAGTAACGCGGTCAATGAGCCAGCCCTTGCCCCCGGTACGGCATATAAAGCGCTCCCCCGCCCCAGAGGAACTTTTGCTGTATTAGAACACGGCAACTACTACTTCTTCCTGATCAAAGACCCACTATTGAATCGACGACCCATTCCACACCCACAACATATTCCACCCACCCTCCTCTCGAGCCCCAAAGAACAATGGCCGCCACAACCTCCCCAAGCGGCACCGAAAACGCCCAGGGGCCCCCCGCCGCCGCCGAAGCGCTCAAACTGAAAGACGACCTCGCCGCGGCCAACAACGACCTAAAGGAGCTCTCCGCCACGATACACACAATCAAGCAGGAGGTCGACAAGGTCTCCGCCGAGGAAGCCCGAGAGCCCTGGGACACTGCTCACCAATCGGAGCACTGTTCCGCTCTGAAAAGCGCCATGGAGGCCGTCAAAGCCCACGAACACAAGTACAAAAGCCTCGTCGCCAGCGTCGACGCGAACAAGTACGCCCACTTGGAAGGCGAAGAGCCCAACGAAACGCACGAGGCCATCTTATCCAACTACAACGTCTACAATCGCGAGCGGGCCGAGATGGGGGCCCAGCTGAAGGAAGTCTGCTATCAGTCGTCGCAACGCGAGCTTATCAACGAAGACCAGGCGCGGGAGATGTATGTGGAGCTGGTGCAAATCCTATACGTGCAGCAGATCGGGGATCTTCTCTTACGGTGGTTGCAGAAAAGAGACACTATACCGTGGGATGAGAACGATTGGTAATGGATACATGCATCTGCTGCTACGGGACTTCATATAGTACTTTACCAGTATCCCTACTGCGTTAATGAATTCCCATAAAACTCCCCTGTATCCTCTATTTGTGTTGTGCCGGGTGCTGAGATAATAAGAAGAGGTTGTAGTGGAAAAGCGAGGCGAAGGTTGAGTCCATGCTCCCCAAATCCATTACATAAGCACACCCAGTACCCGCCTCCACTTCTCAACATATACTTCTTTCCAAGAAAGGGTCTTCGCGATAGTCCGAGACGCAGGACACCTTCAGAGCGCGGCCCTCCTAACGCTTAGACTCCAGCTCGCAAACTCCCTCAGCGCCCCAGAAACGAGAATAGAAGATCGTCAGTCCACAGGGTGTCCGCGGTCCTAACGAAACCCACATCACAGCCAGCCATGCGATGAAGGTATTAGCTAGTTAACTAATTCGCGATCTCCGCTCTCCCTCTCCAGCAAAGTACAGTACAGCCCCCGCCGCACTACTCGGTCAAAAACTCCCACAACCCATCCCCTTCCACAAAATCGCCCCAAATAACATTCACCAGCCAGACGTCTTCCCTCAATTCGCCCAGCAGCCTGCTCGTTGCGCTCTTCGGCGGATAAATCCTCTGCCACTCCCTCCAGATACTATACGCCTCCTCCATCCAGCTCCTGAAGCTCACGGCCTCGATAATCGTCGGCGTGACGATCTCCTTTCCGGCAAACGTGCCCCACGTCACTGGATTCACGCCGTCCTCGCTGCTTGCTTCGAAGTCGCCGTTTGCGTTGCCGGCGAAGTATGTGATTTGGTTGTGCGCTTTGAGACGAGGTTGCAGCTGCTTCCAATCGGCTGAAGGAATGAAGAACTCTACGAAGGGCTTCTGGAAGACGAAGCCGTTCCTAGGACCCCAGCCGAATACGGGATCGGTAGACTTGACTCCATTAACCGCTGGCTGCGACGCGACTGTCCACCAGCCTTTGGCATTGAGAGCGAGGAGTTCTTTGCTGATTGTACTTGTCTCTGGACTTAGGCCTTGCTCACTCCACGGTATGGCGTCCAAGTCCCCTTCAATATGCCGCTTGAAGATGTTCGAGATGTCGTCTTTGTCGACTGGATGACCCCACAACTTGAGGGCTTGCGGTGTGCTGACGTGCAAGGTTGGTCCGTAACCATCGATCTCGCCGAAAGCTGGCGAGCGAGCATCGCCCCACCGTCCATTCGGGAAGTCGTCCCATGTAGCTTCTCGGCCTAATGAGCCTTCGCCTTCCGAAATAGCGAGCGTGTTGGCGCGCGTGTTGATCGGTTCCTTGGGTATGCCAGCCTCAGTCTCGGTTGTTTCGTACGAGTGGCTGGACTTAGAAACGGAAGGCCTGGGTATTATAACGCGGTTGTGTGGACTTGAGTTGAACGAAGAGAGACGTCGTCGCTCGTGGTTCGCCATGGCACCATTCGGCGGTGAGATATTGATAGCAGGTGTTGTCTCGATTGCCTCCTCGTCCTCATCCACGAGCGGCTGCGGGATGAGATGACAATCTTCCAGAATATGCGATACCACCTTCTCCAGATTCAACGTGTAGAAATGGAACCCTCTCTTCCCCGGGCCCGCGTTCCTCTTGAGGTGTTCCACAACCTCATCAAGAACCTTAACGCCGACCTGTTTGACCAGCTCGTCATCGCCTTTCACGGCGTCCAGTCGAGCGAGCATATCGGCGGGGAGTTTTGCGTGCGACAGCTTCGTGACGCGGCGCAGGATCTGGTATGACTGTATTGGCAACAAGCCTGGTATGATGGGTATTGTCTTGAACGCTCCGCTTTCATGGTCTCTCAGCACCTTCTCGAACTTATCATAAGCCTCTACATCAAAGAATAGCTGCGTCATGATGAAGTCGACGCCGGCCTTCGTCTTCTCGACCAGGTACGGTAAATCGTGTTCGAGACTCTGATGCTCGGGATGGCTCTCGTCGGAGTGGCCCTCGGGATACGCAGCAACGCCAATGCAAAAGTAGTCTCCGTACTGCCTCCTGATGTACCTGACCAGGTCGATTGCCCACGTAAAATCATTGTTCGAGTCTTCCTCTGGCAGTTGTCCCTCCTCTCGGTACTCCTTGCTCCGGGGTGCATCTCCACGCAGGGCCAGAATGTTCCGCATCCCCAACACCTTGGCTTGTTCAAGCGCCTCGTCGATGAGCGAGCGGCTCATGTTTGTGCACGTCAGATGCAGGCATGTCGTGAGTCCCAGTTGGCGCTGGCATATCTCGGCGAGCTCGAGCGATTTCGTCGCGGTGGAGCCTCCAGCCCCCCAGGTGACTGTTACGAAAAGCGGTCGTAGAGCCTGAGACATGCGCTCTAGCCGTGTCTGAAGATTCGCGAAGCCCTACCTCGTTGTCAACAAGGTCCTCGCACGCCTTGGAGAAGTCCGCAGATAAGAGGGGCAACAAACCATGGACGTCTTCGGCGGGAAGAACTCAAGCGAGAAGTAATTGGCGCCATCGGGCAGGGCTTTGATCTTATCCGTAACCTTCTCCATCGTGCCTGGCGGGCGTAGGGGGTGGGGAGGGGTAGGGCGGTGGTGTTCGCAGAGTCATGCCCGGCGGTGATAGAATTGTGAAAGCAAGTGGCACGCAGCGCGAGGAAAGCATGTGGGGCAAGTGATCGCCGCCGGGATTGCGCTTTCGGGCTCGACGCACCAGCCACTAGCCACAGCGCCACAGCGCCACAATCGAACCTCAGGCCTCGAGGATGTAAGATGCAGTCAACAATAGGCATGAAGCCAGCATATCCTACTGTGATTGGCTGCGAACTCGTGAAGAACGTACATGGTCACGATATGGTACAAACGTAGCTAACAGTTGCCAACTCATCCTCGTATGCGCCTCCCCGGCCCGTTGGGGTACCGAAACTATGCGGGATCCGGTGCGTAGCGCGAGCTACGGGCACACTCCGCCGGGAATCGTGGCTTCGGGAGGCTGAATATATAAGTGCACTTTCGGCCGAAGTGAGCCCTTCTCTTCGTGATCCAAAACTCATCTTTTGTTTAACGCCATCGGTCCCATACGATATCTCGCTGTCTATCAAACTACGCGCCCAAAATGGCCAATCTACTCCCTCCGAGCATCGATGTGCACTCCCACTTTCTCCCGCCCTTCTACCACGATGCCCTCATGGAAAACGGTCACGAAAAAGTGGACGGGATGCCCGAAATCCCGCCCTGGTCAGCCGAAGCCCACCTCGAAATGATGCAGACCTGCAACGTTACCAAATCCATCCTGTCCATTTCCTCCCCGGGAACACACATCGTGCCCGGCAAAGACCAGCTGGGGAAGGAGCTCACCCGACGCTGCAACGCCTACGCTGCGGAACTGAAGAAGACGCATCCGGAGAAGTTCGGGTTCTGGGCATCGCTGCCGTTGCCGGATGTTGAAGCTGCGCTCGAGGAGATCGACAGGGCGGTTGAGGAGGGATGCGACGGTTTCGGGCTCATGACTAACTACCATGGGAATTATCTTGGGGCAGCGGCCCTAGATCGGGTATTCGACAAGTTGAATAGGCTGGGTGCGACCGTGTTCATCCACCCCACCAAGCCCTGCATCAAATGCGGCACGGCGACATCCTCGGCCGAGACCATCGACGCACTTCCCTTTGGGGAGCAGTACCCGGTCCCAGTCTTCGAGTTCCTCTTCGATACCGCACGGGCAGTAGTCAATCTCTTCAACTCTGGAACCGTAGACCGCTGCCCAAATATGCGCTTCATCATCCCCCATTCCGGAGGCTGTCTACCACCACTGATCACCCGGTTTACTAGGTTCTCGAGCGTCGTCCCGGGTGGGAAGATCTTGACACCGCGGGAGGTGCGGAAGCAGATCGAAGAGCAATTCTACTTCGACCTAGCTGGTCTCGTCTTCGATGGCGAGAGTGGCGGTCGAGGTCAGTTGAAGGCTTTCGTACATGGATTCGACATCTCATATCAGAGATTACTGTACGGAAGCGACTTCCCCTTCACGCGCACGCGCTTCGTGAAGGAGTTCGCGGATAGAATGAAGGACGGGATGGAGCATCTGTTCAATGAAAAAGAGAGGGAGGCGGTCTACGAAAGGAACGCTATGCAGTTGTTGGAAGTGGGAAGAATCAGGAAATCGAACCTTTGACGGAGAGGGGGCATGGCGAGAATGATGCCCAAAGATATGGGCTCTAATAATGCTATGCGAGAATTATATATACTTGTAAGGGTTCATGATGCCGTTCTGGTGAAGTAGTTAGAATGTGTTACACGGATATCAAAGGGGAGACACTGACCGGGTCATACAAATTTTTGATCTGCTTCATTAGCTTGATCATGGTGTCGCTTCTGCTATACCCAATGTACGGCTTTTTGGTGATACCAAGTCCGTGCTCGGCACTGATGCTGCCATTTTTCTTCTGTACCCACTCGTACACGTATGGCTCCAATTGTTTCTCCACCTCTTTATCATACCTTCGTACTGGCACATTGAGGTGCAAATTCGCGTCGCCCATGTGACCGTATCCTACGGCATCTACCACAGGATGCGAATCGTCGTCTCCGACGAGGCCGACCTCGGTTAGGCGATCCCGAACGTCGTTGACTAGATCGTACATGTCGGCGATAGGAAGCGAAAGATCGTACTTGTAGACACCGCCCCAGTGGCCGAGGGCCTCTGAAACACCTTCGCGGCACGACCAAAGTTCGCCCATCTGTGTCTGATCTTGGGCAACAACACCGTCGGATACTATCTCGGTTTCCATGACATTTTCGAGGAAATTTTGTAGTTTCTGAGCATTGTCAGCAGGACACGCCGCTATACTATGGAGGTACGCACCTCGCTGTCATGGTCGGTGTTTGAGCCGCTCGTCTCGATAAGGCAATAGAAAGGATGCTCGCCCTCCAGTGGTAACTTCTTTCCAGTAGCCTTGTTCAACAGCTTCTGTGTACGCCCGTCCATCATCTCGAAGGCTGATAGGATCTCCGAGAGCTGGTTCTTCGCTGCTCGGAATGCCTTCTGCGCATGTTCGAAGCTCTCCAGGCCGAAGTAAGCGACGTTGACAGCAGGCGACCGCTGCGGACATAGAATCGAGATCCCCGTGATAATGCCAATGGTTCCCTCGCCACCAATGAAGAGTTGTTTGATATCGTAGCCGGTGTTATTCTTTCTCAGCTCTAAGAGGTCATCTATAACAGTACCGTCAGGCAGTACAGCTTCGATACCCAGAACATTACCATGAAGACTTCCGTATCGTAGGAGACGGAGCCCTCCAGCGTTGGTTGCGACGTTCCCTCCAATTTGACACGAGCCTTTAGCGCCCAGGTCGAGTGGAAAGATGTGCTTCTTCTCGGCCAGAAAGTTGTCTGCGACCTCAAGGATAACGCCAGCATCGGCAACCAGGATACCAGAGACTTCATCGAATGACCTGATTTTGTCCATGCGCTGCAGGTTGATGACTATCTCGTCGAAGACGGGAACAGATCCTCCCACAAGGCCAGTGTTGCCGCCTTGAGGCACGACAGCCAGCATATTATCATTGCAGTACTTCAGTATCCTACTCACTTCCTCAGTAGTTGCGGGTTTGAGAACGAGCTTAGCGTGTCCGCGGTATTTGCGCATCCAGTCGCTGTTGTAGGGCTCAATGTCTTCCGATGCATCTTTCGAGAAGCTTTCCACCACGGCAGATTCTGAACCAAGCATGTCCTTGAAGTACTTGACATGCTCCTCAGAGAGGTTGGTGAACTTGGAGTTTCTCTGGATTTCCGGATACCTGAAGGGCTAAGCTTGGCACTCATCAGGCAGAATTGCTCTCTACCTACATCTCGGAGGTGAACTTCACGGCTTTTGCAGGGGCCGGGCCCCCTTTCACCGTACCCTTCGCATCCGGCTGATGAGGTTCGGACGTAGCTGAGGTACTTCCAGTCCATCTGACCTGCGTTACAGGTCTAATGCGCTTAATGCATGGTGAAGCCCGAGGAGATAACGCCGTCCGTCGCAATGAAGCGACAAAGCGCGAAGAGGTTGCCATGGAAGACAATTGCAGAGCGAAAGTGAAGAGTGGGGGACGGGGCTGTTTTCGCCCTGGCGATAAATCATGAACGATGACCTAAGGGCAGGGGTGACACGGGCCAAAGGCTTGGCATCTGTTAGGTGGAAGCGACGACGCGGAAGCTCTCGCAGCTCCGACGATCAGCCAGCACCTCCATAACCCCCCAACCGCTCGCCTTCCCCTTGTATCTCTCATTTCAAGCGCCGAAATCCTCTCTATACCGCCGTAAAAAGCTCCCGCTGACTCTGCACCATGGCATCGGGCTACGATCGAGCTCTTTCAGGTACAAACACACAATGTCCTGTAGTTCTAGGCGGAGCTAATACTTATCCCGCGCATAGTCTTCAGTCCCGATGGACACGTCTTCCAGGTCGAGTATGCGCTGGAGGCCGTGAAGCGAGGTTAGTCCACCCTATTTGGCGCTCAAACCGCCTGAACGACGACTTACGCGCTTCCAGGTACCTGCGCAGTGGGAGTCAAGGGCAAAGACATCGTCGTCCTCGGTTGCGAGAAGCGGTCGGCAATGAAGCTGCAGGATACCCGGATTACGCCCTCGAAGATCTGCCTCGTCGATACCCACGTCGCCCTCGCCTTCGCCGGCCTGAACGCTGACGCTCGCATCCTCGTCGACAAGGCCCGCTTGGAAGCACAATCACACCGTCTCACCGTCGAGGATCCCGTGTCAATAGAATACATCACAAAATATGTGGCCGGCGTGCAGCAGAGGTACACGCAGAGTGGCGGTGTCAGGCCGTTTGGTATCAGCACGCTCATTGTGGGCTTCGACCCGAATGACAAGACGCCGCGGCTGTACCAGACCGAGCCTTCCGGTATCTACTCGGCATGGTAGGTTTCCACATAGACATATAGGGCGGGGAAGAAGAGTCACGAGGCTAACTAACTGTTGCACAGGAAAGCCAATGCCATTGGGCGATCCAGCAAGACAGTCCGCGAATTCCTCGAGCGGAACCACAAGGGCGACATGGACCGGGAAGAGACCATCAAGCTGACTGTCAAGTCGCTGCTGGAGGTGGTGCAGACCGGCGCGAAGAACATTGAGATTGCCGTCATGGCGCCGGGCAAATCGCTTGAGATGCTCCCAGTGGAGGACATTGAGAAGTACGTGGAGAACATCAACACTGAGAAGCAGGAAGAGGTAGCGAATAGGAGGCCTGGGCGCACTCCAGGAACGGGCCAGGCGGCCATCCTCACACGGCCGGCTGGCGAGGGCTCGGGGTCCGGAGCATAGGGTGGGAGTGGACGCAGGGGGTGGGTTGGCGCATGAATAGCATTGGCGTCCGGGTGATAGACCTTTCGGGATCTGTACTATACAGATACGTCCGTCTAGTGCTCAACATATGGCATATCTAGCGCACATTCTCTCCCTCGCTGACCGCGGCGCTGCGTCTCCTGAGGCATTGGCATTATTACGAAGCCTTTCCGCTACCCTTCTCCCTCGTTCATCGAGTGCATTCGCCCTTGCAGTTCTCATCCCAAGCGGTCTGCGGCGTCTTTGACGTTGAATATTGACCTCTCCCCATCGACGCGCACGCGGCCGTCCTTGAGCATCCTGGGCCCCATTAGTATCTATTCCGCCGTAAAAATGCCGTGGCGCACATACCTCGCGTCTTTCCGGACGTCTTCGCCTTCAACCTGCAGTGACGCCTTGGGGGTCAAGGCATCAAGCACAAAGTGGTTGTCGCAATGCGGGCAGTACTCGTCGCTACCCCTCCGTCAGCATGCCTCCCATGTGTATGCCATTCTCCTCCCCCGTACCTCTCCTCAAACTCCCGCGAGTCCTTCCGGAAGCACTTCTTGCACTTCTTGCAGGCGAAGGTCATGTCGAAGCTCTGGAGCAGCGGGTGGTCGGAGTTCTCCTGGTGGCACTCTGCGCACTCGAACCATTTCCGGCCTGGGTGTGTGTTACTATATGGTGTATGCGTGGATATAGCGGGCGCACTCACAGCAGGGCGCGCGGATGGCGACCTGGGCGTTGAGGACGTGCTTGCTGCGGAGCGTCAGCGGAGGTGCTGCGGGGTCCGCGAGAATTGCCGCATGCGTACCACATGGTGCAGGTGTTGAGACGGGCCTGCTGTCTGCTGCAGTGTCGATGATGTCTGGCGTGCTCGTATCGACGCGTTTGCGCTCCGGTGCCTGACCGCCGGCGTGTCGACAGGGTCCTGTGCTGCAAGGACGCGGAAAGTTTGCGGCGGGGGTTTCCGCTCAGGGCCAAGCACCACAACGCAGGCCCGGTGAATGCGACGTCAGCCACACATCGACGAGTGAGACCGCCAACACCGCTCCCCTTCGCTCGTCGCCGCAACACCCGCTCGCTGCTTCCTCCCGTCTCGCCCTCCGGCGCTGCTCCAACACACCCGTGGACCCGCCCAAGCACACGCGTGCTCTGCTGGCCGCGCGCTGAAACACTGCCCGGCTGCTGCGTACAAGGCTCTCCCCGCCGAATCCGGCATTCCCTGCTGTCGAGCATTCTTAGAACTCCACGCGTCTGCAGGGCCTCCACGATCGCTTCGCCCCTCGCCTCTCGCCCGCACGAACCGTATCCTTCGCTACTATTCTTCCAGTCCGTCCCTCGCTCCATTGTGGCCGCCGGCGAGCCCCCCGCTGCATGAACAGTCCCCGGCCGCGGGCTGCCATTCTTCCAAAATTACAGCCAGCGCTCAATGGGAACGACTCCTCGGCGGTCGATGAGCTTCTATAAAACCGACCCTGGCGTTGGCTGACGAGGAGCGCACAACATGGAGCGCTCCAACGAGGAGAGCACCGATGGCTCGTCCATCGTGAGTAGCGCAACCTCAAAGAAGAGTGCATGCTAACAGCGAAGCAGAAGCCGGTGTCCTCACTCCGCAGTCATTTTGAGAACATGCTCAGTACGAACAAGTCGCCCGCGCCCACAACCCCGCGCCAGCCCTCCCCCGCCGCAGTCGACTGCCTCGCCATGCCAGAGGACCACAGGAAGATGAACGGGCGGAAATCGTTGGACATTCCAAGGGAAAACGGAGGGCGCACCTCAACACCAAATTTAGCCGACTACAGCGGGACTGGTTCGACTACTCCGCGGGGCAGAACGCCAGGGTCGCCGTGGAGCAATTCAAAGCCTCGGCCGACGTCGATGGTGGCTTTCTCTCCGCCCAGGTCGCCCACCAGATCACCCCCGAGAGTGACCGTGCAATCCCCCAAGTCACCCCCAATACCCTCCGAGCCGCACATCCACTCTCCGCTCCCCTCGCGAACCCTCCCGCCTGCGTCTGTGGACTCCCCTACTCATGCCCAACCGATTTCGAACGGAACGAAGACTTTCAAGGTACCCAGCAGACATGCCACGCCAGTTTTAGAGTCGAAACACTTCTTCCCCGCCAGCCCTGTAGCAAGTCCTTCGGGCGATCCCCGTAAAAGCGGCACGTTCGAACGCCCTGCGGCTCCTGCGTCTTCTGTTCCACCGCCCATCAATCGCGCTGGGAAACCAAAGATCTTGAGCAAGTCGCACTCTGTAGAACCTTCCGCGAGGACGACATTAGCCCCTGGTCACAGCGCGGAAGGAATGGCGGAGAGTGTCTCACCGTTTAGCACTCCACCAAGCAGCAGTGAGGGCAGCGTAAAGGAGGAGTCGCCATCTCTGGAGCCTGGGCTTTCGAAACCCAGAGGTGCCGCTCCAAAAGAGAGCTACTTTCCCCCTCCCCCTGTGCATCATTCTTTGGTTGAGAGACTTCCCTCGTCAGATCCTCGCGCCATAGTGGGCAACCCGCCCTTAAAATTCGCGCCTCAGTCTCGTGCAAATCCCCCGAGCGACCGTCCTGAAGACCGGCCTGCGTTGCCAGCGCGGCGAGAGAAGGACAATGTAGACCTGAGGAAGAGCATGGTGATCCAGAGGCCTTTGTTGCCTGAACCTCCGATTCGGCGATCCATGGATACATTTCGGCCAGCTGCCCTTGTCGCGGAAACCAATAACAAGTTCATGCCTCCCCCTAGGCGTATTCAGGCAACGGCCGCAGCAGCACCCACAAAATCGTTAGAGCCTCCGAAACCACCTCCGCCGCGCAATTCCGGAGAATTCAAGAGACCAAACCAGGTCCCGGCGCAAGCCTCGACGCAGACCCCAGCGCAAGCCTCCCAACCGTACACCTATGATTCAGATGACACGGATACAGCTAACGAGAAACCCACGACCGCTCTTACCGACTACCCGGACTCATCGCAAGCCAATCGAAGACCGCCGGTGTTCCAAGAAGGTACCTCTTTGATCCCCACCGGCTATGAGACGAAGCTCTTCGCCATCTGCGGGGAGTACATATGCACAACCGGCTATGTCACGAACGTGTGGAACGTGTTGAATGGTAGGCTGTTGATGAGTCAAAGTCATGGAGAAACTGTCAAGGCTACGTCAGTGGCATTCAGGCCCGCTAAGAACGTGGACGACGAAGGCAAGCGGCTATGGCTCGGCACGAATATCGGCGAGATGCACGAGCTCGACATCCCAACGCAGAGTCTAGTGCACACAAAGTCCAATGCTCATAAAGGTTCGCCAGTGTTGAAGATATTCCGCTATGCCTCAGAGATGTGGTCTCTCGACGATGATGGGAAGCTCCACATCTGGCTTCCCGACGAGACGGGATCACCTACCCTTCAGCAGACGCCGTCTACATTTCGCGTACCCCGAGGCCACACCTTCTCGATCATATCGGGATCTCAGTTGTGGATCGCTTTTACAAAGGAGATCCGGGTCTACAATCGGACGGTCGACAATAACTACTTTCAGCAGATGACTCAAGGTAGCCTCTCGCAGCAGAACGTGGGAGACGTCACCTCGGGCGCAATACTCAGCAGCCAGCCGGATCGCATATACTTTGGACACACGGACGGCAAAATTACAATATACGCCAAGAAGAATTTTGAGTGCTTAGGGGTCATCAACGTGAGCTTGTACAAGATCAGCTCGTTGGTGGGTGTGGGCGACTATTTATGGGCTGGCTATAGTACCGGGATGATCTACGTCTACGACACGAGTAGCACGCCGTGGAAGGTGATGAAGGACTGGAAAGCTCACGAGAAGCCCATTGCGGGTATCATCGCAGATCGGACGAGTATTTGGAAGCTCGACAGGTTGCAAGTTGCCTCACTAGGCACGGACAGCATGCTGCGAATTTGGGACGGCATGCTGAGGAATGACTGGCTAGGTAGGATTGGAAACCCATTTCTAGATGTTGCTAACAAAGACAGAAACCCAAATGCAGCAACGCGACGCTGAATACTGCGACTTCCGAGAGATCTCGGTCAGAGTAATGACCTGGAATGCGGGTGCAACAAAACCCACGAGCCTACGGCATAACGAGCAAGATCAGAACTTCTTCAGGGAACTGCTGCAGCCAGAAGATCCCCCAGACATTCTTGTCTTCGGGTTCCAGGAATTGGTGGATCTGGAAGATAAGAAAATCACGGCCAAGAGCTTCTTCAAGAAGAAGAAGAGCAGAGAGGCAACGGAGAACGAACACATGTCTCACCAGTACCGCGCATGGCGCGACCACCTGATGCGTGTCCTCGACGAGCACTCTCCGCGCCAGAACTACACTCTCCTACACACCGCCAACCTGGTCGGCCTCTTCACGTGTGTATTCATCAAGGCATCCGAACGCTCAAAGATCCGCGACGTTTGCGCTGCTGAGATCAAGCTCGGCTTCAGCGGACGCGTTGGCAATAAGGGTGCTCTGGTAGTCCGATTCTTCCTCGACGACTCCTCCCTTTGCTTCATAAACTGCCATCTTGCGGCTGGGCAAACACAGACAACGCATCGTAACAACGACGCCGCCGCTATCATGGAAGCGGCGCCTCTACCGCGGAACCGCTCTCCGTCCGACTGCGCGAACTTCTTCGTCGGTGGTGGAGATGGATCCATGATCCTCGATCACGAAATCTGTGTCTTGAATGGTGATCTCAATTACCGGATCGATTCGATGCCTCGGGACACCGTCATCAGTGCAGTGAACCAAGGGAATCTGGCCAAGCTGCTTGACCGCGATCAATTACTTCTATCGCGCAAACGAAATCCTGGCTTCCGACTACGAGCCTTCAACGAGGCGCCTATTAATTTCCCGCCAACGTACAAATACGACGTCGGTACTGATAATTACGACACGTCAGAGAAGAGGCGCTCTCCAGCTTGGTGCGATAGACTGTTGTATCGCGGGCTGGGCCGAATCAAGCAGGTCGATTACCGTAGGCACGACTGCGTCAAAGTGTCAGACCACAGGCCAGTCAGCGGCAGGTTCAAGGTTCGGGTCAAGACGATTAGCGACAAGAGGCAGATGACGGCCAAGGACAAGGTCGAGGTGGAGTTTGAGGCCGTGAAGAGGAGGATCGCTGGAGACATAAAGTAAGTTTTCTAGCCTAACGACATGCATGATACGTAGACTAATGGGCGGCGCAGGCTCGATTACCTGATTAACGTGTTCGGACTGTCGACGAAGGAGGCGCAGAGGCTTCTGAAAGGATCATGAAAAGCCGGCCGTTGGCTTGATACCATTATTTTGTGCTATAGTGAGCGTTCTCGCGGGCTGCATAGGGCATTAGGGTACTGTTGTGGGAGCCTTCTCCGTGGGCAACTTGGGGCGAGGATTGTGGCAGCCATGTCATGTGTTAGCGTGCGATCATGGTGACGTCAGGCGCGCGTATCACGCAGATGCGCCCCGAAATAAAATCGATGATGAGAACAACAACCGCTGCCTCTTCTCACGACGCAACTTCCTCCACCAAAGTAACTCATGTCCTCTGCCTCAATTGCCTTCCGACGCCTTCCACTAACGTGCACATCATCAGCACTTCCACGCGCCCGTCTCCTGGCATCACATCTGCAACACACGCGACTTATCAATCCCCGCATCACCATGGACAAGGACCAATCCCGCGGCGAGTCGACGACCGGCATCTCAGAGTGGAAGCAGCGCCCGCCATACCGCGTGCACGAGCCGAACGAGAAGTTCGACGTCAAGTACGAAGCCAACTGCCACTGCGGAAGGGTCAAGTACCAGCTGAACAGGCGGGAGCCATTAGACAGCAAGCTATGCCACTGCACCACCTGCCAGACGCAGCACGGTGCGTCCCGCGCACCCAAAACACCCAGGGAGCACGCCCGCTAACACGCACCAGCCGCGCCCTTCCAATGGGCCGCCATCTTCCACAAAGAAGACATCAACTTCGCCAACGGCCACCACGACCTCGAGTGGTACGACCCGACGGAGAAGTCCATCGCGCACAAGCTGCCGTGCAAGGTGCGCTGCGCCTTCTGCCACTCGCCCATCATGGACGAGGGCCGCAACATGATCCTGCTCTTCCCCTCGCTCATCCACCTCAGGACCGACGCGGATAGGGCGTTCTTCAAGCCCCGCTGCCATATGTTCTATGGCCAGCGCGTTATGGATGTCCCCGATGGGCTGCCCAAGTGGGCCGGGTTGAGCGGGGAGAGCGAGCTGATTGAGGATAGTCCGCCCGAGTTGGTGAGGGAGTTTGAGCGGAGGCGTGAGGAGGAGAGGAATCGGAGGTTTGAGAAGGGGGAGAATGTTAAGTGAGTGGTGGTTGGTTAGAGTGAGGTGGGCGTTGGAGGCGTTTGCGGCGGTGGTGGTGGTGGTGGCTACTGCATGGCGTCGAGGAATCTCAGCATGAGTTGAGCATTGGTCGGGCGTAGGTGACTGGAGTGAGATGCATACATTATTGGGCGTTGACGGTGAGCGGAGTGCTTCATCGAGGCCCTTTTCTCCTCTAATGTCAATCGATACATTATTGGTCTTGCTCTTTCTCGCTTTCCTCCCTTCTCCCTCCTTCCCCGCTTAACAGCTACGATCGACTGTTACTCTTCCAAGCAATCCAAGGGCCCGAACGACCCTTACTACCCTACACGCTAAGTCGAGGAGTAGTAAGAATAGCGAAATGCGTACGAGGGCTCAGTGCCATGATGCGTTCCGAACAAGAAAAAGAGCCCAATTGCATGTTCCGATTCAAGTTAGAGCGGAGATTCAACACATCTATCCCCACTCCTCTAAATTCACAGCCTCACCTCCCCCCTAGTGCACTCAATCAGCAATGCCTCCCTTCCTCCCCATCTCCCCCCTAACTTACTTCTTCCCCCCCGCCATCGCCCTAGCAAACAGCTCAATCACCGCCGGCCCCTCCGCACTCCTCCCGCTCTCCAAATCCAACTCCGGATCGCACCTCCCCATCGCCTTCCGATACGCGGGCCGTGCCGTACACCGCTCCAACCACTCCAGAATCGCCGGATACGCCCCCAAATGCAGCGGCTCGAACTTCCGCATCGTCGTAAAGCACCACACCATCATGACATCCGCAGCCGTGAACTCGTCGCCCGCCAGCCACGCGTTAGAAGAGAGGCGGTTGTCGACGTGCGCGACCGCGGCGCGCACGCGCGCGTCGTTCGCGGCGTACCGCGGATCCGTCTCGTCGCCGGCGAGCAGACCGCGCGCCAGCGCGCGCCGGAAGAGCGCGGGCTGCAGCGTGCCGTTGGCGAAGTGGAACCAGTAGAGATAGTCTGCGAAGTTCTTATGCGTGGGGGGCAGCGCGAGACGGCCGTCGGCGTACTTGTGGATGAGGTACTGGGCGATGGCGCCGGATTCGGCGAGCGCGATGGGGCTGTCCGGGTCGGTGGTGTCCTCAAGGACGGGCGAGGCGCCCATGGGGTGCTGGGCTTTTAGCTCGGGGGGCGAGAGGAGCGGCGCGCGCTGGTAGAGGCGCAGGGTGTAGGGGAGGGCGAGCTCTTCGAGGAGGAAGGGGATGCGTTCGCTTTGGCTGGTGTGGAGGTGGTGGAGGGTGAGGGTGGGCATTTTGGGGGGTTGGGTTGGGTTGGGGGTGCTGGGATTGGGGTAGGGGGATGGTGGTGGTTGGTTTGGGGTGGGGTTTGGGTATTGGGGGATTGTCTTGTTCTTATAGATTCGTGGGATGTGGAATGGTATATCGGCGAATCGCTGACTCGGTGAGTCGTTGGTTAGCCTATCCATGGGTGGTACTGTACTTGGATGGACGCTTAGCTGAAAGGAGAAGGATGCGGGGTTACGTCACTAACTCCGTTCGGTCCGCATGTGGAAACTCGGCCGAACTGCACACTTTTGTAGGCAACGACATAAGATTCTCGCACGAACGATTGAGATTACCGCTTGAGCTGTCTACTCTTGGCCTCCATACTCCGATCTTTCGTAGCACGAAAGGAATCGAAGCGCATACGCATATCTATCCCAGAAAGGGAACCGATGCGAGCTAGTTACACATGTCGTGTATACGCCTAACCATCCCCAACCCATGTACGGTTCCGCCATATAGTCCATGACCGAACACCCGCCGAAGCAGACGCCCCTCAAACTCCACCAATGCTCTCAGCGACAGTGATCCCCCTATCCAAGCAAAACGCATTCTTGTCGATATCACTCCTCCCAATCTCGCGGTTGATCTCAGGCATCAACTGATCAATCCAGTCGTTGACCGGCGTGAGCATACCCATGCAATCGAACTGCCCCCCGCGCTTGCTCGACTCAAAGTGGACATCCATCGAGCGGCCCCCGGGGATCTTCACGCTCAGATAATTCGCAATATTGCAGTAGCGCAGGGGGATCGTCTTCGTAATGTCGTCGTAGCGGTAGATGTAGCACTGCTTGTCGTTCTCCGTCATGCGCTGGATGGCGCCCGCCATCAGCTTCTCGATGAGGAACTCGACCGTCGCGCTGTCCGTGTTGCGGCGCTCGATCCAGATCTTGAGGTCCTCCTCGCACTCGTCGGCCATGCCGTTGTTGCGGCAGGGGCGCTTGACGCGGATCGTTGTCGTGGGCGGCGCGCCGGCGATGGTCAGATCGTTGAGGGCGCCGATGATGTGCCAGTACATGTCTTCGCCCGCGAGGCGGCCCACGTTCTGCTTGAGGTTGCCGAGCTCGAAGTAGAGCGTTTCGGCTGCCGTGCCGTCGGTGCTGCCGGTGATGTTCACGAGGCCGGATTGAGCTGCCGCATCGGGGACGGTGGAGCGTGCCACAGGTCCTGCTACTAAGGCAATGTTAGAATCAAGTCTGGACAAAGTATTCTCTTGCCTCACATATACCGCTGACTTCACCCCCGGTCGGAGCAGCCAAGCTGAATGACGCTGCGGCCGCAGCAAGAATAAGCGACAGCTTCATGACTGCGGTTTTGCGATGGGATGACGACGAGAGGAAAGAGACACTGACTTGAAAGCCGGCAGCGTGATGGGGAGAGCGCGATAGAGGCGAGAGAGTAGAAAGGGAGGAAGGCGCGAGAGGGGATCACGGAGAGCGGCAAGAGAGGAACGGATGACCTCGGCACTGGCCATCTCTTTCACTCGAGGAAGGAGCGCCTGGCGAAACAACGCAAAATCAGCCCTTTCAATCCCGTGGCGCGTCATAAGAAGCCGTATTGGCTCCTAGGACGTGGTGGGCTGGGCACCCGTCTAGACGAGTGCGGGACCGGTAATGGTGTTCTCGAGAAAAGATAAAACCAAAGCCGACAGACCATCTGACTAATTGATACTAGACGAGTGTAAAAGTCTATAATACGGAGGAGGAGAACATGACCGAATCTTTAGGGGGAAGTGTCGGTGACGAAGCTTTCCTTTCGAGGGTGGAGTGCCTCATCTGCTTTGTTTGCGGGTTTACCCACAGATTGACCATTTCCACCACGATTCTACGCCCGCTACAATCTGCGTACTGGACAAATGGTAGCTTATCCCCGCCGTGAGATTCTCGTTCCTCCAGACTATGATATAATCATCGTCACTTTGCAGGTCGAGCGCAACGGTCTGCAATGATATGAGCTTCTGTTCTAGTGACTTGGGAAAGGGAAACGTACGATGATGCTCACATGGCTGTTACGAGTCAAAACCCTGCGGAGCGAGGGGTAGTAGCCCTTGAGGTCCCACCACATGCTCAACGGTCCCTCACCCGACCCGGATCCGTAGGAGATGACACAGGAGCCGCCGCGGCCAAAAGCTAGGGCAAAGACCTTGTATCCGTTGTTCATGCAGAGAGCGGCACTGGCCGAGCCGGATGCCCGCCAGCTACAGTGGCCATTCGGCCATCGCGCATAGTATGTTTGATTGGGCCCGAGAATGCAGAATTCGAGATTGGCAAGACCGTGAGACCGTATGTCTGCGTATAGGTCCGGATAATGCTTGTCGAGATTGGCGTACATTCTTGACATTATCATGAGTTTGTCTCCGTATCCTAGACGTTCGGTCCGTTGCTTACCCCATGAACAATCTGAGTAGCGAGAAATGGTCACGGCTTCTCCGTGGAAATCCAGTCCAAAGCTGCGGGAAAATAGATAGGGTGAGTCGCGCAGCCTGTCTGAATTGCTGAGCGAGGTGCTTATACACGTGTTTCAGTGCCTTTCCAAGTAGAACTTCGAATTCTGGGGACGCTTACCCGGCGATGTCTTTTGGGCTCAAACAAAAATACGACCGACCACATAATGATACCCACCACCGCGGGTAGGAAGGTCGGGCCTCCTGAACTTGCTGCTTCAACCGGCCTTTTCCCGGCTCAAGCTGCTTTTGCTGAGTCTCCACTCGTCTTATCCCATTGCGAAGGGCCGATCTTTGTTCTTGTAGCTTCTTCACCTTCCGGACCGTCAGCGTTGACTTGCGCGCGTAATTATCACGTCCCTCAAACGTCCATATCTCAACCTCGTGGCGCTCTAGCTGTAGGGCGTCCTCCATACGCTCCGCAAGCTGTCGAAACTTGTTGTCCCACTCCTCGCTCTGCCTGTTCATCTCCCTTTGTATTCCCCTCCAAGCCAATGCTTGCTCTACCGTGCGTCCCTCGTCCGGGGGCTGCCTCAGAAAGTTGGTGGCAACGGGTTCACTGTGTTTGACCAATCGATGAACGATATCTCTTGCCGAGGCCTCTGCGTTATAGTATCGGTGGGTGGAACTACCTTTGTCCAACATCCTGCCCCAGAATTCCGGTGTGCGGATCAATTCATTCTCGCGCTTGATGCCCTCTTCAAAGGCGACCTTATCCCACATAGTTGTGACAAGCAGAACTTTCTTGAAAGCATCCTGTCCGCACAATTGATTGAACAGGAGCAGATTCCTCCTAGCCGAGCCGTGCATGCGGATGTCGTTGATGCGGTGAAGGTATATTATGCCGTGGAGGGATATCCTGACCTTGAATGAGCTGTTCAAGTATCCCGCAATCTCCTCGAGAACATCGGAGTCGCTTCTTTTGGTACCGTCGAAGCCGGGGGTATCTATGAGATATACTGTGCTGTTAGTCGGCGTATCGTATGCGTATACATCAACAGTAGATGTGCCTGATTGTAATTAGAATCTTCGTAGGTGGATATCTCAGCTTTTTAATGAACTCTACGTACATGGCTCAAGGGTGTGACCAATTCTGACAGGTTTGCGGGAGCATTTTGAGATAAAAGAGCTCTTTCCCGACCCTGTGACACCGATAACAGCGATGAAGACATCAGTAGACCTTTCAATTCGCTTAGTGGTCCGAGATCGCGCCAGAGGAGCCGTGACGAGCGGTACTCACCTAAGATCGTGGCTACCGCGAAACCTTTGTCGGCTTGTAGCCATCCTCGTGCCATTCGGCTGGTTTATACCTAGGCAAATGTGAGCGATCCGATAGTGCTCGCGAGTATAGTACCCACCGAGGAACGACATGCTCATGAACTCCAGATGCCGCACAATGGCCGTTCGTGAGTCTTGGTGAAGTAGGGAAGAGGCCCTTGCCTTCCAGGTGCCTGGAGACCTGTCTCGGGCCCTTTTCCAAGGTGCAGTAATTGAATCTGAGCGTGAGGTCGAGAGGGATTCATCTGGGAGGCAGACGACAGATGCGGGGTGTCCATGTGACCGCAAGCCTCTGTCGCACAGTGTTGCCCATGGTAACGCTTAGCCCCTATCTTGCCAGGTGGCTCATCGGAGCCTGATTGCCACCAGGAGGAGCGAGTGAGGCGTAATCAAGGCCGAAAGGGAACTATCAGTCTTCCTGGGCTTTCTATTCAGTGCTCCGAAGCCGACTTTTTTTTATTATATTTTTTTTTTAAAAATAAAGGGACTTCGACCCCCAAGAGCTTGCCCATTACGTGGGCTGTTTCGTATCCTCCATTCCATACTCAAAATACCTTGGATGCTCCGGACTTTGTAGCCGACCAGCTGGCCGGTCAGGCTCAACGTCTTTCGGCTTTCATGGGTAGCTCCGAGCGCCAGTCCGACGATAGGTTTTTCCTTGTTCTGGGGATGACGGGCGCTGGGAAAAGTACTTTTGTTGCTCGATGCACAGGTCAGGATGTTACCGTTGGTCATGGGCTATACTCATGTAAGAAGGCCTACCCGACTCATTTTAGCACTGCAAGCCATCGAGCGTGTGCACTAGGAAAGCGCCCTTTGACAACGTATCTAGGCACCAACTCGATGGGTGTTTTCGACTTCTTGTGGCGTGGTCGACGTATATACCTTGTGGATACTCCAGGTTTTGACGACCCGAATCGCTCCAATATCGACACCTTGGGAATCCTCGCCGCCTATCTTGGTGCGTCATATGCGAATGGCGTGCGCATCCATGGCCTTATTCTGCTGCATCCCATCTCTGGCAATCGCATGTCGGGATCGGGCTTACGCAATATTGAAATGATGAAGGCAATGTGCGGATTCACCCGTAACGATAACCTGGCGATCGCCACGACCATGTGGCCTAACGCGCCTGACAACGCCGAGGCAGCGATTCTTGAGAACCGGGAAATCGAGCTGCTGACGGAGGAGAAGTTTTTTGGCGTCTTAATCGCCCAAGGCGCGGCCCTCTTTCGTCATAATGAGAATGGCCATCGAGATTCCACGGATGAACATGAGTCGGCACGGCGAATCGTCGATTATCTCATCGACCGCTCAGATATACGCGCGCCGGACGTGCTACGCTTGCAGCACGAAATGATCGATCAGGGGAAGAGGCTAGGCGATACCGCTGCCGGTATAGCAGTGGCTGCAGATTTGCAGAAAGCTCGCCAAGCCCAGCTGCGGCAACTGCGAGAGCTAGAGACGCAGATGGATGATCAGCTCGCCTATATGGATGCCGCACATTTCGCTGAGCTCCGGGAGCTCCGGGCGCACTTCAACAAGAAGCTGGAGGAAGCTGAAAACGAGAAACAAACGCTGAAATGGTCAATGGAAGATATGCACAGGGAGGAAGAGAGGGCTTGGAAGACGAGGTTTGAAGTCCTGGACCAATGGTTCCGCGTCCAGATCGCCGCGAAAGAGCAGGACCTACTCGGCATAGAGACGTCTCTCCAGCAGCTGCGCAACGACAGAGCTCGACGCACGGACTCACCCTGCCGGAAGCAACAGGCAGCGGACAATGCTGTGGAGCACGAGGAAATAGTCGACAAGGCGCGAAGAGGTGCTGTCCGAGCTCGAGATAGTCATCGGAAATTCCGCACGCATGGAGGCCGCCTCGTTCATGGCGTGTCGACTGATCTCGCCAAAGATCTCGCCTCAGGTATCGCGTCTAGCACCATAGCCGCACGTAAGTTGGCCCACTCTTTTGGATAATCGATAGGCTTTGGCATTGAGATAGAGGTGCTGACGCGGAGGTGATCCCTAGTTGTTGCAGGAGGGGGTTTGTGCACGGTAATGTAGCGACGAGCTAGCGCAGCCACGGAAGCCGAGACGCTATGAATATCAAAGGAGAGGAGGTATAGAACAACGAGGGGAAGTCCCAAAGAGTGCAGAAGGATGTACTTTGGTGATGTATTGATTGCATTTCATATGCTACACGTCGGGGAATCGGAAGATTTCGTGCCGGCCGGAGCCTGCTCCGTATCAATTGTGTCATTCGGAGCAGCAGCGGACACGCCACGCCTCAGGTCCACCTGATCCATCACACCACCTCCTCGCCCACGGCTCACCTTTGCGGGGACTCGCGACTGATCACCGCATTGCAGGTACCACTCTCAGACCCCATAGCATGAGCGTGACCTGAGCAAATATACACCGCCGCGGATCTCGCCCGCAAACGGTGGCCCCAGACAGGCACAATGAGATCACATAAAGCCCAGCTTACCCCTCACTCACAACAGCTCACTCTACAGCTTCAGATCCCCTCAATTCCTCAAACCAAGACTCAATTGACTGCCTAGAGCGTCCCTAACTCTTCCTCTCCCTCCTTTCCTCTACCCTTCAAGAAGTTCGTCAAGATGGGGGCGCGTCGCGAATCCTCCTCCGAGGCACCTCTCTCTCCCTCCGCCATCCCGGACCTCGCCATCCTCCCGCAGCCGCTCTGCCCATCGGCCCTGCCCGTCGGCCAACTCGTCTCCAAGACGTCGAAGCTCGCGCCGTCGACGCTCGAAGACCGCGACTACGACGACATCGGCACGCGCTGGTACAAGGACGTCATCCTCTACAACACGGCGTCCGGCCGCTTCGTCGAGTCGCTCGGCGGCACGCACCTCGTGCAGAAGACGCTGGACAAGGGCACCGAGGCCGGCACCATCGAGGCGGAGGAGCAGCGTGTGCGGTTGCTGAAGGACCCTAGCGCCGCGCTGAAGAAGGTGCTGCAGGCGGAGGAGGCGAAGCAGTGGCTGAAGGAGAATGCGGAGGCGGGATTCGTGGTTGCCACGCGCGAGGTTACGAATGCGAGCTACAGGCGGGCGCGGCTGGTGGATGTCGGCAATGGCAACTGGGAGGTCGTCAGGGAGGTCGGCGGGGAGGGCAAGGATGGGAAGAGGAGGGATAGCGGGCTGGATGTGCAGACGAACAGCAAGAGCGATATTGTTGGCGTGGTGGTGAGGAAGGTGGTTGTGGAGGGTGGAGAGGCCCGGCTGGGTGGGGAGATGGCGGCAGAGTTTTGGAACTGAGGGACAATTTAGGCGTTCGTGGATGGCGTCTTCGGCTCGGCGAAAGCGGGACGTCTGTATTGTACGGGTATATCCATTCGGCATGATTTCAGGGAAAACTCCTTTCAATGACAAAATATGAATTCCATCTATCGTCCAGAGCATTGCTTCATTTCCCCTAACTCTCAAGCGCCGATCTCGCTCATTGGATATCTTGCCCCATCCTAGCAGACATTTTGGCGGGCATCTATCAATTCCGTCCGCAAACTTCATCGCATCGTACTCATCGAACGTATCCACCGCGAAGAGACCCTACACCTTCACTCCTAGGCGGCGCCCCACGTCGCTGTACCAGATCAACGAGAGCTCCAAGAATGTACACAGGTCCTGATCGTCCGGACGTAGTTGAAGAGGAGGGGGACACAGTACAGGTCGAAACACCGCGTCGCGTCGCGTATCCCGGGGTTGGAGAAGGGTGGCGAACTCGTGGGGACTACCCCACACTTTGCAACAACCACCTCGGTCTAGCTCTCGTTGACGTCGTCACTTCCACCACCGGACGTTCGTCTCCATGATGATATCCATACGCACCGATCTCGCTTCCAAAAGGCCCCGTCATGCCCTCGCAGTCGCCCTTCCAGATAGACATCCCGGCCACCGACCTCCTTAGCTACCTCTTCCCGCCGGCCCAGCTCGTATCCGACAAGCCGATATGGATCGATGCCGACGATACTTCGCATTCGCTGTCCCCGCGCCAACTCCTCCGATGGGTGAAAAGACTGGGTGCTGGATTGCAAGCCTTGGGTTGGAAGCGGCAGGATGTGGTCATGATGTATTCGCATAACCATATATTTGTGCCTGTTGCGTATCTGGGCATCTCGGGCTGCGGATGCATCTATAGCGGCTGCAATCCAGCGTACGGGGTCGACGGTAAGTCGCGTAGTCGTGGGTCGAAAAGTCTTGCTGAGAATAGTCAGAAACGGCGTATCAGATTCAGAACACCGAGTGCAAGGTCATACTAGTAGAGCCGCCGCTGCTTTCTACCCTTCTCAAAGCCGCAGCGAAGACCAATTTCCCAAGCGATCGCATCTTCGTCTTCTCCGACAAAGAGACTGGAACGGTGGACGGCATTCGTGACTGGCGAACATTCCTCGCTTCTGCATCAGAAGCCGAGTCCTGGACTTGGAGTCCAATGAACGCAGAGCAGTCTCGCAGCACGGTCGCCGCTCTCAACTACTCGTCTGGAACCACGGGTCTACCAAAGGGCGTGATGATCAGCCACCAGAACGTCATCGCCAACGTCGAGCAAAGCGTCTTCATGCGCGATCTCGAGCAGCCTTACCACCCTTCGTCCCGACCTGAGGAGCGCTGGCTAGGCTTCCTCCCTCTGTACCATGCATACGGCCAGCTATGGTCGATAGTCGCCGCGGCCCGGACTCTCAGTCCCTGCTACTTCATGCGCGCGTTCAACTACGTCAAGTTCCTCGAGAACATCCAGAAGCATCGCATCACGCACATTCAGACCGCGCCACCCGTCCTAGTCATGCTAGCAAAACGCCCCGAAACGAAGGCCTACGACCTCTCTTCCCTGCAGAACATCCTGTGCGGAGCGGCGCCTCTGTCAAAAGAGCTCCAGAACGAGGTGTCCGCGAAATGCGCCCTCAAAGTCGTGCAGACGTGGGGCATGACTGAGGTCACATGCTCCTGTCTGCACGTGCCGGGCGGGCGCGACGACCGCTCCGGCTCCGTGGGATACATCGACCCCAACGCAGCGATGAAGCTCATTGACGACGAGGGGAAGGAGGTCGGACCCGGAGAAAGAGGCGAGATCCATGTCAAGGGGCCAAATGTGTGCATGGGTTACTGGCGTAATGAGCGAGCTACGCAGGAGGCTTTCGACGAAGAGGGGTTTCTGAAGACGGGAGATATCGCGGTAAAAGACGAGAACGGCTGGTATTGGATCGTCGATCGGAAGAAGGAACTCATCAAGGTGAAGGGCTTCCAGGTCGCGCCTGCGGAACTCGAGGCTCTGCTTCTGGAGCATGAGCATGTGGCTGATGTAGCAGTGTGCGCGTTGCAGCTGTGGGTTTCTCCCCCCAAGGGCTGCCTCGTACTTACTCGAGCTAACTGAATCACGCGCGAAGCGAACATGAAGAGCTGCCGCGCGCGTACATCGCCCTGAAGCCCGAGCACAAATCCGCTTCTACCGAGTGGGATATCGAGAAGTGGATGGCTGATCGCGTGGCTAGGCACAAGCACCTGACCGGCGGTGTTGTGTTCATCGAAGAAGTGCCTAAGTCGCCGAGCGGGAAGATCCAGCGCAAGGTTCTTAGGGAGTGGGCGAAGAAGGATGCAGAGGGGTGGAGGAATAGGCGAGATGGGGCGAAGCTGTAGTGTAGTGGACGCATTCATCGGAGCAATCTTACCATGTACTACGACGTGTTGTGATATTATCACAGATATTTGCACATCGGGCTGTGACGGGAGAGAAAACGGTGTGATGAAGCATTGGAGATATATACTGTATTTCCCCACTCAACGCACAGACCTTACTTAACGCACACTTTTTAGTATCTCTTACCCCCCCCCTAAAATAAGAACTATAATAGATAAGTAAATAAAATTTTAGTATATTATTTATATACTACTAGTAACTCTATATTAGCTTAGAAATTTTAAAAAGCTATAGTATTTAGTTAGTAATTAAGATTTATAAATTTATTAAGTTTTTTTAAAAACTTCTAATATATAGCTTATAAATTAATATATAAGCTTTTTTATAAAATAAACTTATA